CACAGCACTGCAGTCATTACAAAATCATGAGCACATCTACCAATTATTTTATAAAATAGCTATGTAAAACTTCTTGTTGTTGGTAATATATTTTCATTAGTAAATTACCAGAGAAGTATTTTAATGATTGTGTAATTTCATAACTTCTACATCTGTCAACCAGAAGCGGAGAAAGAAAGTAAAGTCTAGTTTAACCAATTCCGTTCAAATAGTAAGCGCAAGATGTTTAATTTTATAAACGACAAATATTGGCACAATACAGTATCTTCGACTAAGTTTAAAGATAGCAGGTCTCTAAATTTTCAAATTGTAATCATTACTCTGGTCAACATTAAACAAACGTGCACAGAGGGGCCTCTCATAATGAAAACAATTCTCTTCACTAGGCCAGACCAGAAATAAAACTCCTGACACAGTTGAAGTTAAAAATTAAATGGAGATTCAAAAACACTCACCAAGCATCGGAAACGTTCAGCAGCCAACTCATGGTTACTCCAGGACAGATGTTAGAACACCAGTAGACAGATGTGAATGTGAAGCCACCCCTGGGCTGCTAAGTTGAAACCCGTAACTTGAACTTGAACGCCCAACATCCTACAAATTACAGAGAAAACTCAGATTACACAGAACCAAAGTTAAATTTTCAAAAAGCAGATCTTAATAAAAATTTGATTTGCATACTTATTGGTCCATAGGAATCCGTAAACAGTTCGAAGCATCATTGCAGTTGCTTGGAGTTCTGGGACAGTTGTGTACAGAGCAGGAGGTTAAGTCAGACCAGACCTGTCGCGTCGCTGCCGCCCGTCGCCGTCACGGTGAGCACGACTGCTGAAATAATGAACATTTGCGTCACTAAGAGAGTTTTTCTCTGTAAAACTAACAACGCACTCGCACTAATAACAAGAAGTATTGAGCTACAGAGAATGTGCTGAGAATACACACAGAACACTGGACGACTTTGCACTGGAACCACAACTGAAACTGATACAACTTCAAACCAAAAACCTACCTCCTCTGTGATAATAGCACTTCCAAATTGACATGGTAACCACCGTGATGTTTGCGGCCCAGACTTTTTCAGTAAACACTAAAACGTTTGGCTGACGACACGAACATGAAAGCTGAAGACGCCATCTTGGAGCGACTGCCGCTCGTCTCGGCCGGCGCCAGTGTCGCCGGGTGCTCCGAATCGCCGAGAGGGGCGCTGCAATCGCCAAAACGCGCCACGGGCTCCCCGAATCGCCAAAAATCGACGCAAAAATCGCCAATCTTATGGGCATTAACACTCGAATGTTTACAAGCCACAGCCAGAATCCCGCCACTCTAAGCTCACTTCGACAAATATCGCCACAAAAATCAGCGAGTCGACACAGTCATTTGTTTTCGGAACCGTAAAGTCCGACTCGTTCGGCTCCCGAGCGCGCCAATGTTCGGTTCGGTGTTCCCGAAGGTCCGTCGGAAACTGGAGCGACATGTGGATATGAGTTTAGCCACACAAAGGAACTCTTACCCATAAATTAAGATACAAGTATTAAAAAAATAAGTTTTTTTATATTTTATTTTACAATGACCTTACTTTATTTTCATACTTAGCTCATATTTTTCAGAAATTTAGATATTTGGACCCTTTTGTTGTCATACAGAACTGAAGATGAACTTCAGTGCAAGGTGTTCTTTAAGAATGTATCCCCGCATTGCTCTTTATTTACACTTTTTACTGACTCTTCACTACTTTCAGAACTACTTTCGAATCTGAACACATCAAATCAAAAGGGACTGCAGTAAAACTGTAGATTATTTTACAATTACGGAGTGCAGATCTTACTGTGATGACGCAAACAGTTAAATCTGTAGTTCTTAGTCACTTTTGGCTGCAGTTTCCGGACTACAGTTTTGTACTACAGTTCAAACTACAGTCCAACTACAGATCCTTCCACCCGGGACCACTCGAATCAAAGCTGCATATCTGGCCTAATGCACGGCAAATTTAATGTAGATTCATTTTGCACACGCGGCTTTGGGAAATAAGGTCGGATTTCTTTACATTAAGTGGATTAAAAACACCAGACGCAAAGAGGCTGAAATGACCACTTTTACGGTCTCTACTAATGTGAGAAATCCGACCCGTTTAGACACACGCGAGTTCTTGAGAACAAATCTTCAAACATGCCGTCGTGCATTTTGTTTAAAGGTTTTTGCACGAAACTAACCTCAAATTATACAATATGAATTCTAAAATACTGCAGCGTCAAACACCGTTGAAAGCGTCATCGGCCCGTGTCGTCTGGACCGGAGGACGGGACAGACTATGGCAAATTCACCGCTCGGCACAGTTTTGTTTCCATTTTGTGACAGTTGCACCTGCTGACATGTTGGCAGCTCGGGTAGCGTGTGTTGCTTTCATTGACTTCCACACTAACCTCCTGAGGAGAATCCATGCTCTCAAAATAAACCAAATCGTGGAACTGTGAAAAGTAAACAAACCTGTGCCGAGCGGTGAATTTGCCATAGTCTGTCCCGTCCTCCGGTCCAGACGACACGGGCCGATGACGCTTTCAACGGTGTTTGACGCTGCAGTATTTTAGAATTCATATTGTATAATTTGAGGTTAGTTTCGTGCAAAAACCTTTAAACAAAATGCACGACGGCATGTTTGAAGATTTGTTCTCAAGAACTCGCGTGTGTCTAAACGGGTCGGATTTCTCACATTAGTAGAGACCGTAAAAGTGGTCATTTCAGCCTCTTTGCGTCTGGTGTTTTTAATCCACTTAATGTAAAGAAATCCGACCTTATTTCCCAAAGCCGCGTGTGCAAAATGAATCTACATTAAATTTGCCGTGCATTAGGCCAGATATGCAGCTTTGATTCGAGTGGTTTGTATTCTATTTACCGAGTTGAAGTGAGAAGTACAAGCAGACGCCATTCCGTCGCATCAACTATTATGTGGGATATTTCTTGCAAGGTGAGTCCAATCAAAAGGAAATGTATCCTACGCCGAGCGAAATTTTGTAAGGAAAAATCGGCTCGCTTACATGTATGGCCTCCGAGGGCTCTAACATTGAAAACTAAGTGTTACAAAATCTGGTGGTAGCGTTTCCCGCGACCGAGCCATCGCATTTTCATCACCTCCCTTATTTCTATTTCGATTATAAAGAGAAAACTATGCTTCAGATGCATTCTTTAGACAATGACCTTGATTTTGATACCCGAATATGACTCCAAATGTTTCGATTTAGGGTACATTTCTTTAAAATAAGGTACCGATGCGGGGCGACAAGTTCGTCTGCTGGCCGTGGCGCCCCGAGCGGATCGATCCCGACCCGGTCCCAGCCCCACCTAGGGAGTTTCCACCCGCTGGGATTACGCGAGCCGCGCATTGACTCATGCCCGGCGCTGCGGCGCTGCATTCGCATCGGCGATAATTGCCGAGTAGCTCATTAAAGAGCGCGCGCGCGCGCGCGCGTGTGTGTGTGCGTGTGTGTGTGCGTGTGCGTGTGCGTGAGCCGCCATTGAGGAGCAGGCTTACGATGCGGCGTGCCCTGCTGGTGGCGATGACGTCATGTTGTTGTTTTTGTTGTTGTCGTTCTTCTCTCCTGGCTGCAGTCTGTGCTTTGCGTGCGCACGTGTGTTGCTTACGCGCCGCGCGCGTCTTTTGAATCTCTAAAGCGAGGCGAGCCGGGTTGTGTGCCGGGAGGAGGAGAGGAGAGTTATGGTCGTTGCGAGTGTGAGTGTGTGAGAGAGAGAGTCGATGATAGTGACTCACTCGCGGTGTCGTTACGCAAGGATGTGCACCCATGCAGGCTGCGAGCTCGGTAAGGCTGCACTCACTCGCCCATCGACACTCCGTGGCAAAGGCGGCGGGGCGGGGCGGTGCCTGCGGTGTACCGGCCGGCCGCTTGGCCGGGGACGCCGAAGTGCTATTTATTAATGGCGTGACTGTGTGCGCGGTGCGGCGTGGCGTGGCGGCCGTGCACTTTCACACCGCCGCTCGCATGCACGCTCTGCCTGCTCTGCCTATTGCTCTGGCTGCACCGTTATGGCCGTTTTGTTGGCGGGTCGTCGCGTCGTCGGGGAGGTGTGCACAGTGGGCCAGAGGACCGGTGGAGGCGGCCTAAACTCTAGACGCGTTTTGGGCCCCAGCGTCGCGAAATGGGACTGGAACCGAACGTGTGACCCCACCAACGGATTGCTCTCCGAACGAGGAATCCATTGGTGGGGTCACGCGTCCGATTCAAGTCCTGTGTGGTGGGCGGCAGGCTTCGGGCGTGCGCCGGGCCAGGGCGGTGCCTCCGGGCGGTTAGTGAGGGTCGCCGACGAACATGCCGCGGACCCAACGCACGGCGGTACCGATTGACTGTCCTTCGGGCGAGGACTCCGTCGCGTGGCGCCCGAGCGCCAGAGCCTTGTCCCGAGTTGAGGGATCTCCTGCCGCTGGCCCGCCGAGTGGCGTCGCCGAGTGGCGTCGCGGAGTCCACGACGCCGAGCCGCCTGGCCGCGCCGCCGCGCATGTTGGTCAAGGCGGACGTCGCGGACGTGAGTCACCGCCCGCCGGCACCGCGGCACCGCCAGACGTCGCGGCGGGGCGGGGCGGGGCGGGGCTCGGCGCGGTGAGTAAGAGGATGCTGGCTTCCTCTCTGGCGCCGACGACGACGACGGACGACGTCGACGGGCCACCCAAACACACAACGCGCGGGGGGCTGTTGAACTCCGCGCCGGCTGGTTCCGAACACCGCTCTGTTTCTCTCTCGCGCCCCGACGGCACGTCCCACCAGTGCGTGCTGCCTCGTGGAGCGGGGCGGCGGATCACGTGTGGTCTAGCCCTTAATGGTAATGGCAATGGAGCGCCGTGCGGGTGGGCAGTCCCGCCGAACCGCGCGGTGTGGCGGTGCTGCCCGCCCGCCGGTTGACAGGCGCTCGCCGACGATCATTTTTTCAGGACTGCCTTCTTTTTCCTCCTGGCCGGTCACGTGGTTTTTGAACGCGCTCGCTTTGTGTTGCAGGTGGACTATGGAGTGCGGGCGTGGCGTCGCCGCTCACGCCCATCGCCCTGGGCGCGGCCACGCTGCTGGCGGCGGGGGTGCTGCTGCTGGGCTGCGTGTGCTGCCGGCAGCAGAAGGGCTTCCAGGTACGGACTCGACTCGACTCGGCACTGCCTGCGGCTACCCGCGGCGCCCTGTCGTGGTTTCCTTGCACACGTCAAACAAAAAGTTTTAAAAAAAGTTAAAAAAAGTTGAAAAAAAAGTTCAAAAAAGTTGAAAAAAAAATATAAAGTAAATGGAAATTTGACATTGAAAATAGAACTCGACGTCTCTGTGCCATTCTCTCTGGACCGGGAAAGTGAAGGGCCGATCCCTGTCGTTCACTCTGTGTTTGGGGGAAAGTGGTAATGTTTTTCTTTTAATCTTTTTCTTTCTTCTTTTTTTTTGCCCGTGGGGGTTGAGGGCCGAGGTGCCGCTGTGCGCGCGCCGCGGCGCCGACAAGCCAAGCGTGTCCTTTTCTTTGGCGCAAGGTCACACGCCGCCACGCCATCGCTAGACAGGCTGTCTGTCTGTCTGTCTGTCTGTCTGTCTGTCTGTCTGTCTGTCTGTCTGTCTGTCTGTCTGTCTGTCTGTCTGTCTGTCTGTCTGTCTGTCTGTCTGTCTGTCTGTCTGTCTGTCCGTCTGTCGGCGTGGCGTGCGCGCGGGCCTTCCGCCGCGGGCCTTGTGCGGGGAATGACGGGTATTTCGCCGGCAGCCACTTGTCGATGTTGGCTGGCGCCAATTATTGGGATGGCCCGGTGGAGGGGGAGGGGAAGGCCCGCGCTCGCGGCTCCAGGATGCCGGCCTGGCGGGCCGCGAGAGGGATTGGCCCGGACTAGCGCCGCGCCTCGGACCCGTTTTCGCTGGTTCGACTTTCCGACGCCGCCGCCGCCTTGCCTGCAGCCGGCTGCTGAATTGCCGGCGTCAAAACGCGAAAACCGCGGCGCGGCCTCGGCGTGCTGCTCATCGACTCCGCCGTGCCGCCGCGGTGGTGGCGCCGGTTGGCTTCCGCGAGGCCTTCGTCGTCGTCGCGGCGCCTTGGCGTTGAACGGGGCCGTGGCGGGCCTGGGAAACCGGCGGGCGGGCACCGCGACCGCGCTCCTCTCGGCGACCCCCCTGCTGCTGGCAGCGTGCTGGCAGCGCGACGCGAGGCTGGCCGCGTGGGAGGGGGCGCACACTGTAGACGCGGCCACGCGGCGGCGTGGATGTACCCGGCGTAGTGGCGGTGACTCACAAGCGCACTCACGCGGTGCATCCTCCTCCGCGCACCGATTCCGAGAGTCGTTTTCGTCGCTCTCTGTCTCTCTCTCTCTCTCTCTCTCTCTCTCTCTCTCTCTCTCGCACTCGTGGAGCGACCACTATAGGAGCGAGGGAGACGGCGCGACGAAGACGACTCTCGGAATGGATTCTGCCGCGGCGGTCGGCGGCGGCCCGTCGCACAGTGGGCCAGAAGACCGGTGGAGGCGGCCAAAACTCCGGACGCGTTTTGAGCTCCACAGTCGCTAAACAGGACCGAAACGGAACGTGTGACCCCACCAATGGATTCCTCGTTCGGAGAGCAATGTGTTGGTTGGGTCATTCGTTCGGTTCGAGTCCCATTTAGCGACGCTGGAGCTCAAAACGCGTCTCGAATTTGGGCCGCCGCCACCGGTCTTCTGGCAAATCCACTGTGCGTCGGCTGCCCTCCGAAGAATGAGGGATGTCCGACAGAACGCCAAGGCTCGCCAAGGCGCCAACCGCGTTGTCTCGTTCCGCTTCCGCTTTCCCAGGCTGCCTCGTTTTCTCCTTTGTGCCAACACAGACAGGCTCCCCGTCTCTCTCGCACTCTCGGGGCGCGCCGGCGTGCCGCGGCGGTGCGAGAGAGAGCACTGCTGTTCGTCCAGCGTGGCGGCGAGCGCGGCCTGCATGGGCACGTCGGGCACGTATGGCGACGTGAGAAACGGCCGACTAGTCAGCCCATTGGTTGTGGCGTCGAACCCGACCCGACCCGACAGGCCTGCCGCTGTCGTCGCCCTCGCCCTGCCGCGCCGCCCGCGCTGCCGGTGGTCCGCCAGTCGACGCCCAGGCCTTTGTTGATGTGCCCCGCGAGCGTCGGCCGCCCGTTCGGCACGGACAGGCGGTCGTGGGAGCAGTAGGCGAGCGATTCGGTAGTCATTCCGCACCTCTGTCTCTACCGCACTCGTGGGGCGCTCTGTGACAGACGGAGCGACTCACGCCGCACTGTGGGCCAGAAGACCGGTGGAGGCGGCCAAACCTCTGGATGCGTTTCGAGCTCCAGAGTCACTAAAAATGGGACTCGAACCGAACTTGTGACCCCACCTATGGATTGCTCTTCGAACGAGGAATCCATTGGTGGGGCCACACGCTCGGTTCGAGTCCCATTTAGCGACTCTAGAGCTCAAAACGCGTCTAGGATTTTGGCCGCTCCACTGGTCCTCTGAACCGCACGGCCCCGCTGCTCCTTCTCAGTCGAGGGGGAAATCACTCGCGTAATAGTCGGGTCACCCATTCCTACTATTACGCGTAATAGTAATAGCGTAATAGCCAAGTTTTTAAAAATTTTCCCTATTTAGAGTCTGATTTTAGCCTAAATCTGGATATTTTCGAGCGTAATAAGCCTTCTGTAATAGCGTAATTGAACGTAATAGGGAGTAGTCGGGTCACAGTTTTTAAGAGTGATTTCCCCCTCGTTCTCAGTGCTCCGTATTCGCAGCGCTGCTTGCCGCGTTGACCGCCGTTGCACTGGCCGACCCTTTGCCGTGCGTGCGGTTCAATTTTTCATAGCGGCCCTTTCTCCCCCGTGGCGTGGAATGCCAGCTCCGCCCATGTGTGTGTGTGTGTGTGTGTGTGTGTAGCGGCGCGCTGGGGGAAGTCCTGCTAGCGGCGTGGCCCGCACTGCGATGTGTGGCATGCGGCAGGATGTGCCTGCCCGCTGGTCTTGCTCCGCCTCTCTCGCTCTCGTGGGCCGTCCCGACGCCGTCCCGACGCCGTCCCGACGCCGTCCCGACGCGTCCCGTTGGGGTGCCAGTGAGACAGGGCTGGTCCGGGCTGGGCTGGGCTTCCCCGGCTTGTTCACGGCCTGCGCAGTGCGCGCTGCCTGCTCTGGTGGCGCCTGCCGGCCGGGGCGGAGCGTGTGGTGCCACTACACTGCGGAGGCGCCACGGCGTTGCGTAAGAGCAGCGGCAGGCCGGCGGTCACGCGGCCATTCGTCGCCGGTTCGTTCATCCATCTTTCTATTGGTCGGTTTGGCGGTCCCCATTCACTGGCGCGCGTTAGTTTGAACGGCCCGCCGCTGCGCCGCTCGGGGCTTCCTCGCCTCCACGGTGCGATTGTACCGGAAAGGGCGCCGCCTCGGCACCGCCGCGCCGTTTGGCCGTTGTCCTCCCCCCGCCGAAGTCGTGCCCTGCCCTTCATTTCCTTTCTCTTTCTCTCCCTTTCTTTCCCCGTCTTTTCGCGCGAACAGCACACCCTCACGCGCGGCCTGCCTGGCTGGCAGCCTGCTCAGTGCAGAGCAACGCCACCGAAACAGTGTGTTCTGCGTCGCTCCGTCTCTCTCGCGGGGCGTCGCGTCGGGGTGCGAGAGAGACGGTCCCGCGTTCATTAGGGGCCCCGGGTTAATTGGGACATTGTGCCAGAGGCGGTGGCGCCAGCACGGCCCTGGCTGGCCCCGTGACATTTGCACCGGCCTGCACGGTGCACCGGGGCGGAGGCGGACTAGGGTGGATCCAGGAGGGGGTCGCAAAAGTTACCTGCCTACAGGGGCAAAATACACCTTCGGTGTTCCCCACCCCCCACCCATGTCCACGGGTACCTGGGAGTGAAGTCGCCGAGTCGCGTGACGCCGTGTGACGGCGGACGTGCCAGTGACGAGTCAGTGACGCGCTTGCAGTGCGACGGGCACGACGTGACGCGCGGGCTGCCGACTGATTCCGTCCGAGAGCCGTTTTCGTCGCGCTATCTCTCTCGCACTCGTGGGGCGTCCCCTATTGGTGCGAGAGAGACGGAGCGACGAAAACGACCCTCGGAATGAGTCCGCTGCTGGGCGTGACTTGGGCGTGACTGTCATCCCGTCCTTCTTTTTCCCACGCCGGTTTGCTTTGCTTTCCCTCCCTCCGGAAGGCCTGCCTGGACTGGCAGCGCGCCGTGTTGTCTGGCCGAAGTGTCTGCAGTCCGCGGACTCGGCATTCATTTGCAATTATTTATTAACTAATGACGAGGTGGCCGCGTAATTAGTGGCGTCGGGAACGCGGCGTGGGTGCCGCTGTCTCTCCCTGTCTCTCTGGCACTCGCGGGGCGTAGCCTATGGCGTTGCCGCGTGCCGCGGGCGTGTGAGAGAGACAGCGCGATGTCCGCGCTGAAGCTGAAAGCGACTTTGCAGACGGACTTTGGCGCGACGCGACGCGTCCGCTGCTCGCTCGCGTGGCGGTCCGCGGCTCGCGTGTGTCTCGCGCGTTGGCGCGCGGGGGCATCGTTGACACGGTCGCCGCCGCGACGCGTCGAGATGTCTGCCGGCGACACCGCGCTGGTGTGGGTCCAACAAGGGTCCCCGGAAGGGAGGGGGAGGGGAGGGGGAGCGCGCAAACTTGGTAGTTGGATCCTCTGTCTCTGTGGGGAGAGAGAGAGAGAGAGAGATGCGTGGGCCACTCCTTTGTCTCTGTAGGGGAGAGAGAGAGAGAGAGAGAGAGAGAGAGAGAGAGAGATGGGGGCACTCCTCTTCTCTCCCACGGCCGATTGCAATTAACGATCGCGGCGTGGCTGTGGCGCGGTGGCGCGCGCGGGCGGTGGTGCCAGTAGTAGTCTGATTTCGCCCCGGAAGTGCGAGAGAGAGAGAGCGAGCACTGTCTGGAATCGGACCCAAGTGCACGGACTGGCTGCGGTGTGGCTGGCTCGGCCCTCGTCCAGGCCCTTGCGGCGGTCGCGCCCAAAGGCAGCCAAAAACAGTGAGAGGGCGCGGCTGCCAAAAGCCTGGGGCTTGGGGCCAAAAGGGCTCTATGGCCAAGGCTCGGCCCTCGGACTCGCGGGGCAGGGGCCGCAGGGGGCGCAGGGGGCGTTTGCAGCTGCGCCGAGCTGCACCACTGCAGTGCTAAATCCGAGGCGAGGCGACGATGTGCGGCAGGCTTGCTGTCCTTGTTGTCCTTTTTCTTGCTGCCCCCTCGGTCGTGTTCCATCTTGCGACAAGACGTGGACATGGCTCCCACACTGCAAGGCTTCACACATGCCGCCGTGCCGTGCCGTGCCGCGCCGCGCCGTGCCGCATCACGTCCGTGGGGCGGAAGTGAGCGCGACAAAACCGTGCGCCGCGCGCGATTCCCCCCCCCCCCCTTCCACTTGCGCATCCGCACAAGTGACACCCGTATCCCTGCCCCGTCCTTCCCTCCCCCTCCCCCTCCCAACAGCTTGAATGCTGCTCCTTTATTTGACGTCAGATGACTGGCCTTGCCCTGTCAGGGAGGGGCCGGGCCGGGCCAAGCCGCGGGCAAGCCGGGCCTCGAGGCGGGGCCCGGGGCGCGGGGCCCGGGGCCCGGGGCCTGGCGAGAGGGGCCTAAACGGCCTTGGCTGCGCCGCTGCGCCGCGCCTCGCGTTGCCTCGCGGCACGGCGGACCACCCTCTTAGCTCCAGGCTCCAGGCGCCGGCCCGTCTGCCCGTCTCGCGGCTTTCTTTGCCATCTCTTATTCACTCCACTCCGCCTCTCTTCCCCTCAGCTCTCCCACCATCATGCCGCTGCCGTTTGTCGTCTCACTCGCTCTTTATGGTTTTCAATCTGAAGACTCGACTGCTGGCAGTGAAGGGTCGGGTGGCCTTGGCAAAGAAGCCCCTCCCCCTTCCTCCCTCCCCTCACGGTGGTCGCTAGGGGGTGCTGTAGTGCTGTGGGGGCTGAAAAAGTGATGTAGCTTGCGGACGAGGCCCCTTTCCCTCCCTTTTCCGCCACTCACACTCACGTGAGGCTATGTAAAATGTAAAGGACTCAAGAGAGACTGGCCAGAGAGAGAGGATCAGGTAGACAGTGACTAACCGTGGAATGTGTCTTGTTTGGGAAACAGGACAAGACGTGCATGCAGTCTTGTGCCCAGAACGGAGCAGCTCAGCAGGAACAGTGCGGCAGTCTAAAGCAGGCCGAGGCGGCCAGGAAGGATAGTGGCCCGAACGTCCAGAGCGTTCAGATTGACATCATAGTCAAGGAGGATAATTCTTGTAACGGGAAGGAGTTGAGTGGGGTTTTGGTCGCGAAGGTGAGCAGCACGGCTGCGCAAGCATTTCAGTAATTTGAGAAAACAGTTGTCTTAGAGGCTTCAATCTTAAATAGTCCGATTTATATTTTACATTTTCTTTAAAGTTTTATGGCTGTGTGGCTGCATGTTCCTGTAGATGCTGCATTCAATTTTTGATGTGTCTAGGCATGCCATTTATTTATTATTTACTGAATTTGAAGTCTAATGTTTGTGTATTTTTCTTTGTTTGTTTTTTTTATTTTATTTTAATTATTTTTTTTAAGCAATGTGTGTTGGGTATTCACCCATTCTGATCCAGCGTCTTAAATTTCGTTCTATGGAATTGTTGGAAAATTAGTTCAAGAATTTTGAAAACCAAACGCTTGTAAAATGAACTTGTCCTAAAATGTTATATTTTTACCTTCTTAGCTATTTTTTTTAACTGCTGTAATCTATTTGCCTTTGATGTTCTTCAAAGTTGACCAGTAGTGGCTTAGCAGTCAATCTTCAGTGGGTTTTTTTTCCAGTTCAGCTGTGATTGAAATGCATCTCTAACATCTTTATCGTAACTGACCTGTTTTGTATTTTTGTTTTTGTTTTCAGGAATTTACAGACAGTGTTGTCTCATCTCAGAACAATCTTTCTGCAGTCCCTACCACTTCGCACCAAGTGGCATCAGAGTTGACATTGTTCCCTCCTCTTGGAACAACACTTACTCAACCTGGTGACCGGTCTTCAATTGTTCAATTCGAACCTCTCCCTGACATCCATGTTGTAGCTGCTGCTGCGGCAGCGGCTAGGAGGAAACCCGCTGTCTTTGGAAACACTTTGCACCATGGACTTTCAGTGCATGACTGGTTTGGTATGTTCAATGTAGATGATTTGCCCTACTCTTTGCTGTGAAATTCGTGAACTGTTTCATTCTTTTCTTTCAACTTTCAGATGAACCAATAAAAAATTTCCCAAGAGATCAACTTCAATACCTCAGGGAAATAGGACGTGGCTGGTTTGGCAGGGTAAGCAAACTGTCCATCAACATCTGTTTTCTGGCTAATGTTGCTACAGGTTTTTATACATCATGCACTGGCTCTTCTTTATCATAATTTTGTTTGGTACAGGTGGTCGAGGGGAAGGCAAAGGAAATAATTTCAGGTCATGCCACATCCAAAGTGATTGTGAAAATATTACATGAAGATGCCACTCCTACAGATCAGTCCTATTTTCTCCATGAAGCCAAACCATATAGAAGTTTAAAACATCCAAATGTTCTTAGTCTTGTTGGAAGATGCCTGGAAACACATCCATTCCTCCTACTTTTAGAAGATTGCTCATCTGTAAGTACTGGTGCTGCTGATGTACTGCAATGTGGAATTTTGATACAGCTGCAACATTTATTTATTTTTTGTTCCAGGGTGCTTTAAAAACATTTTTAGCAGAAAACCGGATTAATGCTGAGAAATTTTGTCAAGAAGGAGTACTGCTTGAGATGGCACGAGGTGTGGCAGCTGGACTGAACCACATGGTAGAAAATGGTTTTGTTCATACGTAAGTATTTCCATAATAAATGAGTCCTGTCACCTGTCACCTTTTGTGATGCTAAATGTAATTTTTTATATTTGTAGGGATCTTGCGGCAAGAAACTGTTTGGTAACATCCGATCTTACTGTTAAAGTTGGTGATTATGGAACAAGTATCGAAACCTTTAAGGTGCAGTGTTCAAAATGTTTTTGTTTTTTTAATTTATTTATTCATATTTAAATATATGCATAACATTTTTCTTTTTATATGTAGGATGAGTACTATTGTGTTGGTGATTTAGCTATACCAATTCGGTGGGTAGCCCCAGAAACGCTTCGTTGTACTGATACAACCATCGAAACAAAAGAGGTGACGGCCAGTGCCAATGTTTGGAGCTTGTCTGTTGTGCTGTGGGAAATATGCGAGTTTGGGAAATTGCCCTACTCTGACCTCAGTGATGAGGAGGTTATTGAACAGGTTCTTGGTAATAACTCAAATAGTTTGCCATTCCCATCATTTGAAAATCAGCCACATGTGCACAATTTGTAAGTTTTCCAATTTCGTTTTATTATGCTTTACTTGTATTTGAACTTCTTTCTTATTGATCTTTTTTTTTCTAGGTACCATTTGATGAAAGTATGTTGGGTGGAAGCTGAAAAGCGGCCTCCTTTGAGAAGAGTTGTTGCCATGCTTGAGCATTTGTTGCAGCATAAGAACTCTCCTGCACACACTAGTGCTAACAATAACAACAATAGCACAACTAGTTTAGATGATTTTGAGAGGCGTTGGGAACTTTCTAAACCCAATACTGTACCTAAAATAGACAACCAATATGGAACAACAAGCATGCAATCCACTCCTGTAAAATCTATGCTTCTGCCCCGCTGTGTTTCAATGGAAGGCAGTGTTGCAACAGAACCTGTACGACAACTTGAGCTGACCATTGCTGCTGATAGGGCATGTGCTACTCCTTGTGCAAACTCGCCACAATTGTCTGTGTCAAGTAGCTTGGGAGGTGAAATGTTTGTACCTCCATCACTTGCTGCTCAGAAATCCCCAAGTTTGCAAAACTTGCGAGGTTCTGTGGATGAACTTCATACTGTGGGAATCAAAGAAAATACTCAAGGCATGGTTTCCACTTCTCAAGCTCCAGGTATGAAGAGTAACCCTTCCCATTATTTCCCATCACTCTTTTTCATTATTTTGTGTCTGTTAATTAGTGTAACCCATGTTTGTTTGTTTTTTGTAACAGGAGCGTTTACTGAAGAGCCTCAATTTGACTCATGGCTGAAAGGAATGGACACCTCAACAGAGGAAGATGTTCGGTTTGTTAGAAATATCTCTGAAGCCATTCGAGACTTGGATGAGGTTCTAGCACAGGAGAAGACATCTTCATCATCACAGAACTCAAGTTCACAGCCGAGTCCATCACAAGTTACTTCTCGAGACTTGAAACCAGAATCCCTTATTTTATCCAGTCAAGATCAAAAATTCACTCTAGATTTTAGACTTGGACAAACAGCTGCATCATCCTTATTGAGGTCAGTACTTTTGTTAACTTACAGTATTAACTTTTCTCATCTTAATGGAAAGCTATCATGCTCTTATATAACCAAATTTAAAATTTGATTTCAGCCGCAGCTTTGGACTTTTGCATTCCAATGGGCATGAAAGTTTGAGCCTCTCACAGCACCGGCTGGAATCCTCGGGTTCGGACACTGAGGATGAGACCTGGAGAGTACGGATTGAAAGAGGCGAATTTTCAGAGAAGGTTCGTTTTCTTAGTCTCAGCAGCAGTGCCTAGCATTTAAAACCAATACAAAAGGGTTAACCTGGAGCTGTTTTTCCTTCAGGTGAAGGAGAAGTCCAAGAGTGTGGCAGACCTAATGGTGCTGACTCACATCGACTACAGTGATGGCAGTGATTCAGACACAACTCTTGATCTTGATCCTTATGGTTCCTCATTCCGTAAAAATGTTCCTGGCCGACGCTCATTCACCAGGTAATGCTTATTTCAGATTGTAGTAGATTTCTTTCCTACTTTCGTTCTAATTTTATGGGTTTCAATTTTATTTTTTTCAATGTTACAGGAAACCTCTCCAATCCTCCTTATCAGTTACTTATGGTAGTGAAGGAAACATACATCAAGCAATTTTGGGAGAAGAGTTCCAAGAGACAATCAAGCGACTTCAGGAATCTAGAAGAGATGGCTCAAAACTAGACACTATTCCTGACGCTTCCTTGTCCTATGTGAGCATGAGCAGCAATGAAGCTCCAGATCAGTCAGCCTCGTTTCAAACCAATTCTGACAAAGGTCATTTTTTAGCCAAGCTGGCCTCGGAAAAGAAAATGATGAAAAATGACGATAGTGACACCGCATTTAGCGGAAAGTCAGATGAAACTAACAGTATTTCAAAACATGCCACTCATGAAAGCATGTCCGCTTCTAGTCATTTATCACATGCTGTAGAAATCAATAATAGTACAAATGTTATTGATGATGAAAGAAATTTGGAGCAGCATCTGATAAACAAATGTCTCTCACAAGGAAAGTCCCTACTTACTAGCACTCCAGTTTCTAAAGAAAGCAAGCTTTCACAGTCCAAAGAGGAAGGTCTTGGCTTGGATTCCAGTTTGATGTGCTCCCAATCTTTAAGTTTTATTGAATCAGAAAAGGCTGATTCAGCCATCTCTTTGTCTTTGGAGGCAAGACCACTCTCCCCAACTCCCGATAAAATTCAAATAAAGCCAGCAGACTCGTCCTGTGTGATTCTGGGTCCCTTTGAAGATTCAACCCTAGACTATTTTAAAGGTCTGAAGACTGCCTTCCCTGCTGTGAGAACATTAGAGTATGACTCCAATGAAACAAACTTGGAAGAAAACACCATTGAAACTTGGGATAAGTTCCTAGATCATGCGATGCAGCCAGAATATTGTGATTATCCTTCATTTTCAGAAGTCAACTTATCTAAAGTAGAATCTGAATCACCTGTCAGTGATGCCAATGCTCCCAGTGATTCAAGTGACATTTTGGGCAGCAGTTTTGAGAGGAGTGTTCCTGAAAAGACATCCATTTCTACCAATAGCATATTACTTCAAATTGATAATGTTTTAACTAATGAGAGTTGTTCCAAAGGTTCAACACCTTCCTTAATGAGTTATGATGCTCCCTGTCAGAAGAATGGAACAAATAACGTCAGCAATAATGATGTTGTGACTCAAGGTATTTCTGTGTGTGAAGGCAACTCAAATATCAAACAAGAGAGTGTCTCCACTTCATGCCTTGTGGTCCCTAGTGTAAATGTGATTGCAGCAACCCCTGTTTCTTCTGGTCGCAACACCCCTAATGATCTTAAAACTGAAGCAGTGGACCCTATTATCCTAGTTACCAAAGAATATGATGGTTTAGGTCTCAATGAAGACGTAAATTCAGTGAATGTGGTTGTAGAAAATGGCAAGATGGATGTGAAGAATTATGTGTTTTCCATGAATGACACAGTTGAATTTGCTGCTCCTCAGCTTCAAAGTGACAAGAGCAGTGTTCAAAACTTTGACCCAGATTTACCATGCTGCTATCAAAGTAATCAAAACTTTGAATCAAGTGAAAAAAGTTACAATGTTAACAATGGGTTTGACTTATTTTCAAATAATGGTTTAGCTACTGATTGCTTTGTCAATTCAAAGCTGGATGAAGACTTCATTGGCAATGATTTCAAGCCTGTGATACCATTGTTTTCCAAAGGTTTTGATCCTAAGGAAGCAGATACTAACAGAGAAATTATGGAAGACGAAGATGAGTTTGGCCTTGGTGTAGCAAAGAATCTCACTCCTGATGATGAACGCAGTAGCGACTCAGGCTTCCGTGACAAAGGAAGTTTAAGTGAGAGTTGTGAAGATGCTTGTGATGAGAAGTACAACCTGGAAGATATTGAAGCAGAACTTGAAGAAGCCTTTTCCAAGGGAGTCTTTGCTAGGCATGACTCTCCCACAAGTATCAAGGGTCAAGAGTCAGACTGTGAACCAGTCGATGAGTCATTTTCAGTTACATTAATTGATGTTGAGAAGCAACGGGAGCAGAGGGAAGCTGAAATAAACCTCAATGGCGATCCTTGCCATCGACTTGATGTTCTTCTTAGAGGTGACCAAGTCCATGAACCCTTAGCAGTTGATGTGGAATCATCTGTTGATTTCTTTGGAACAAGTCCTGCCCTTTCTCCTATACCTCAAAGCAGTGGATGGTTCCTGCACCCTCAAAATCAAGATGAGTCAGAACCAATAAGTGGGAATGACAGCAGTTACTTCTCTTTCAGCCTCGATGAAGAGTTTGTTAATGCTATCAGAAATGAGCTCAGAGAAAAACTTCCTCTGGCTCAGATGCAACGAGAGGAGAGTCAGCCTCAACTTTCAGATGAAGAAGAAAATTCTGATGAAGAGTTAGATTCTGAAGAGTCACAAATGAAAGAGAGAACAAATATAATGATACACTACAAAGCTCCTCTATCCCCTATCTTGGAAGAAAGAGAGAGCATTTGCTCCGAGAGTTGCTCCCCACTTGGAGGGTGCAATACTTCATCATGTTCAGAGCCAAGTCCTATGTTAGCTGTTGAGCGCAGCCCAAGCCACCATGGGGATGGAGATATTCGTCATGGGGAAAGTGAAGGCCCTGCTGAAGTGGATGGTGACCTAAGTGATGACTGTGGTGATGGGATTCTCTATGATGAGCTAAATGAACATGATACTCTGCCTCAAGATGGTAACCATCCGAGTCCCTCTAAATTGAGCGTAATAGCTGGTGTCCATGACTTGTGTTTGAATGCTGATGATAATGATGATTATGATGATGTTTTGGTGGTAAATATGGAGACTAATGAAGCTACTATTTTAGAAAGCCCCAAGCCTGTTAGCAAATATTCATTTGGAAGTAATGAGGAATACGATGATTCCAATCACGATGATTTTGTTCCTGACTTTTTGAGTGTTGCTGGAAGTTATCAGCTTCCAGAAAGTAAATTTAACAGTGGGAATCAAAGGCTTTCTGAGCTGTACTTAAGTAGCCGGCCTTTGACATTGGCCACTTTACCACAAAGCTCAATTGATATTGAATCAGAAGATGATAATGATGACAATGCAATGACCCCTGACAGTATAACATGTGAAAAATCTTTGAGTGAAAGAACTGAAGATTCTGCTCTGGGCCTTGCAATGAGCGAGGTAATGACTCCAGACAGTCTCACTGGAGAAAGTCAGTGGACTTCAGCTCAAATGTGTGATTCTGGCTTTGGCACCATTGGTACAAGACCCTCATCTGGTGCGCCATCAACTGATGGCTGTGACCGAAGCTCTCCCGAGCTCAATGCAACTGGTATTAATTTGGAAGATGAAGATGTTGGTGCATCAGACGGCAAGGAAGAGACAGCACTGAAACCAGAAGCTGTTGAGGTGTCAGAAACAACTCACTCCATTGAGGACAGTGAGTCATCTGTAAGTGTTAGTTCAAATTCTGTTGTCGCTGTTGCAAATGTTTCAAATGATTGCCAGTCAAGCATGGCATCATTGCACACTGATTCGACACATCCAATCATCAAAGCCCACGATGTCACCAGCCTGAAGGAAAATGTTGAAATGTTCATAGCGAAGGAAACTGAGTTGAGTGCTTGTTTGTCTCAGGGTCCTGCTCTCTCAAGCCCCACACCCAGTGGTCTTTCTCCTCAGTCTTTAAAAGAAATGGCTGAGAGTGCTCTAGCAAATGATAGCAGTCTGAAAGTCCATACCTTGGCATTCAATGCAGAAGAGACAACTCAAAGTAACATTTCTTTTATGAAAAAGTCATCCTTCACTGATAAACCTGTAAAGGAAAATGGTCATCTGAATGCAAATGGAGAACACACAGATTGTGGTAGCAAGATTTCAAAGCCATCTCACCTATCGATAGATGACTCATTGCAGACCCTAGCATTCAGTGATGGTGATTTGGCGGATAGAACAAATTTCTCTGGACCGGGTCACATTGTTGTGAGCTCAATTATAGCACAGTTGACTCCGAATGAAGAAAACCATACATCTGGAATGCTGGCATTCAATGATAGTCCTGTAAGTTAAAAGTTTGTGAATACCAATTTTTGTTTATTACTGTATCTAGATTTGATGGGTAAACACTTACCAACGATTTCCTTTGCCAGGAATCACCTTGTGAAATGTTATCTCCAATAATAAAAGAAAATGACTCTACTGAAGCAGAAAGCCACTTAATGTCTACATCATTTATGTCTGCTGATGATTTGTATGATGATAGAGATCAATTCACTCATGATTGGGAGTCTGGTTCAGATGGCTGTGAATCAGAAACTGCTTCATCCTCTAGTGGAGAGTTTATCTGGAAGGTAAGTTTTATCTTATTCACACCATTTCCCCTTCCTTTTGTATGTAAATAACACAATGGTCCAATTTTTGGGGTTTAAGTTGACTTCATGCTTATCTTTCTTGCTTTTATGCATCTATGCATCATTTGCTTCCTTCTTTTTATGTGTTCTTTATTTCTACCTGTCCTTTAAATAAATTGGCCTTGTCATCTTTTCTCTTTATTGTCCTGAAACTAATCTTAATGGTATTGGTGTAGGATGGTGATAGAGAGTCTTCTGTAAAAGCAGTTCAAGCTGCACCTGATTCTGTTCTCACTGATACTCCTGAGAACCAGGTATGTGTAGTTGTTGCCTTTTGCTGATCGTAGTCTGTGCTCTCTCCTTATTGCACTTTTTAAAAACAAAGATAAAAAAGGATGCTAGATGGGTGAGAAAGGTCATCACTAAAGTATGCTATCTCACCGAACACACAGTGCAAAGAGAGCTGTTTGATGGGCTTGTATACTTAAAGAAAGTGACGGCTTTTATCAGCCACAATGTATGCTGATATTTTTATGAAGTATTTGTCGGTGGTCTGCATGGAATTGTATTTGTATTTTATTTGAAGTTGGTTTCTAAATTTACTTGTTGTTGATTCTAGGCTTACAGCCAGACACAGACAGAGTTCCCAATGTCATCTATCCTTGAGGAAGATGAGGATGGCAGTGCCTCCAGTAGCTGCACATCAGACTCTGAGGATGATGCTGAATTCGTCCCGTCTGCTTGGAACAGTCAGGCCACCCCCAGCCGGTCAGCCTTGCGCAGTCCAGATAAAAAAGTGGTAAGCGTTTTGTTCATTCTTAATAGAATTTTGACATAAAGTTAGTATCTGAGGTTTAAAGGCGGTTTTGTCTTTGTGTGCTGCGTACAGGAGATCATCAACGCAGTTGTAAGTAATGACTGCCAGTCAGACTAGTAGGGATTTGGCCTGCAAATGCTCTCTTTAATTAATGTCATGTTTCCAGATCGATGTTTTAATCCTGTTGTCATGGTTTTATGAAGTGATTAATTCATATTTTTAATTTTAGGATCAGAAGAAAAATGTGAGTTTCAAGAGGCAACGGTATCATTGTGTTTATGAGTACCCTCGAGAGCTTAGTGACTCTGATGGGTCCGAATTCGCGGACTCGCCCAGCCGCCGCCGAACTTGGGATGTGGATTGCAACACCTACAATCTTCATGGTAAAAGACGCAAATGATATCCATTGATTTTTGACACTTCTGAAATATATTGAAGTTAATCATTCCTTACCACTTTACAGATTGGGACATAGCCATTAATGAAGGTATGGCTGAGACCTCATGCCAGGAAGATCTCAGAGATGAGCAGCCACATCTAGCCTCATCCCCCTCATCCCAACGACTCTACGAGTTTTACAAAATGAACAGTGCGGACTACGGATTTGGCTCAAGTATGTGTGTTTTCATTTAATTAGTGTGTGATCTATTGATTTTCGCTTCTTTTACTCATTATCTTAAACAATATCATTTTTACCTCTACAGCAATGCTATCTGAAGATGGTGAATTTTTCATCAGCAGTTCTGCCCAGCCATTCCACACCTTGGGTGAGGCAGGACCCTCTGGGAGTAGTGAGTTCTTTCCTGGACGAGGTTTAACTGCAAGCAGTGTTGATGATAGTGATGTCGTTGATGGAATCTTGGATCAAACTCCAGCCGATGATGAGCAGATCCCTTCAACTGAGAATCAGAACTGGCGTCATACAGAAGAGTTTTCAGACAGCGACAGCAGTGATACAAATATGATAACGGCTTCTGAGGGATCTTTTAGTCAACAGAGAAGTGGAGATTCCAATTCATCATCCACACCGATGGTCACTGCAAATGGAAGCAGCAAGAGTAGTGAGGAATCCAGTGTGTACCACTCAATCCCTACCAACCAGGAACTTCAAGTAGACAGCGGTAGTGACTCGCCGTTGTCCGAGCTATCTCCTACTTCTCCCCTCTCACCAACATCTCCATCTCGTGGTCTTGGTGAACTCAGGCACACACGAGACCGTCTTAAATTAGATCTTCCTGCTGCTAATGCTGCTTTCATGCTTGTAGCGCCAAATAAAAAGAAATCAGTTGAGCAAGTAAAAGGCGAAGCATCCTTGTTAGATGGTGAAGAAATTGTTGAGGGAGGTGCATGCAAAGCTAGCAGCCCATTTGTAAGTGAGTTAGTGAGTAGTGATGTCCATTAAGCATCAGAAATATTTAACTCAATGTTTAGTTGTGTGCTGGAGACAAACAGATTTTGTCCGATGTTTGTCTTGAAATATTTTCAAATAGTGAGATTCCTTATTAAATGCAATTATATATACAGGCATTATATGATACAGTAAACTTTGTGGTGATACTTTTACCTTCTTTGGGTAAATTAATTTTTATTCCCATTCCATTAACAAGATGGTGCAAATATCTATTATTGAATTATGAGGCATGTATTGCTGTAGTCAGTTTTTTGAAATTGAAACCAGTACTAGATTCCTGTCATTGTAACTACCCTGTAATTGAAATTTTAAAAATAGAAGAGACTGTTTGAATGGCAGAAGTGAAAAATGTGAGTGTGAGACTTCAAGTATTGCTGTTTGTAGTTTCTATTATTTCCATTAGAAATTTATTCAATTTGCCTTATTTAGATCATGGTTTTAGGTAGTGTTCCTCTTTTACTTTCATTTTCCGTCCATATCTGAGTCTGTGGATAGTGCTTCTATTGGACATTTGGTTTGTAGCCATTGCTGTGATTCCTCTACATAAATTTGTCTTAAAAAGACAAATGTGCAACTTTGTTGATGATCTGTAGTTATTATTTGTTTTGTTTACTTCTCCTCATTAAAATGGCTTGTTATGTTTACTGGTCATCCAACTGGAATGTGCTTGTTTGTGTCATGTTGTTCATTTACTGATCTTAATGTACCAGTTTATGCTCAGTGTACACTCGCACATTGGCTAGGTATTCTTACCCATGGGGTGGCCAAGATCGTAGATAAGACTGATTCATGTCATGGAGTACAGTGAGGAGCATTTTGTGATATTATCATTATGTTGTTTATATAAGTTCGTTTTCCTTGTTTTAAAAATGAAAAAGTGCACAGCATTTAAGTTTATTTCTCTTGTTACGACATGTAGCAACAGGTATGTTCAATTTGATTTGCTTTCTGACCTTTTGCTTTGGAATGTGTCTCACTTATAAGTATTTATATCTATTGTTCCAATCTATCTATTAAGATACTGTAATAATGGATTATTGGTTTTTGGCTCCTTCATGACATAAGAAGGAAAAGATAATTCTATAATAAGAATTAATATTGTGTAATGCATTGCACAAATCTTTGATGTTTGTGTGTAGATTTTCTTAAATATTACTAATTGTACTCTTTTCTCATACTGTTGTTATTCTCATTGTTAATACTATTCTATTCATGTCAGTTATGACAATAGGGGTTTCAATTTTATCTCAAACTTTTGTTCTTTGAATCTTTTTATTAGAACCGTCCTTTTACCAACTCCTGCCGAGCTTCTTCATAAATATCTTAAAGTTTTATTATTACTTTTCATCTTTTAACTTGTGTATTGAATGGTAGTTGGTGCTAACCTTATAGAATATCTTTTCCCTGCACCACTGTGGCATGAGTTGAAATTTATTGGACTTGTGTAGCAGTTTTTACTCAAGCAGTAATTCCCTCCAATGTGATTATACTTCATCTGTTAACTCTGAACAAACTGTCAATTTTTTTTAAGGGAATTTTGTCTCTCTTGCTCACATTAAATACAGGCCGTTCATATTACCATTTGTTGTTTTGTGGCCACTCTAAGGTTTCAACAAGTTCCTGTGAGTGCATTCAGGCCTAAAATAGATTCAAATGTTTCTTCAAGACCAAGTCTTCTGTTGATAGATTGTAGGATCTGTGGAATAATTGCATAGAAATACATTGCATTGAGCTTAATGCTTATCCTTAGATCAAAACAATAGAGGAATTTTTGCCTCCTGTGATCTGCCCGGCCATAGAATCCTATTGACTGACCTCTCTGATTGTGTATGTAAAAAATTGTACACTTCAGTCATAGCCAATCTTCAACAAGACTTGGTGTTAAATCAGACTTTGGTTTGTCAAAGATTGTCTGCAATGTCTTGCAGCGTTCAAATTTTATATTGAGTTTTAGTCTTGCTCATTATTTTATTTATAATATATTTATTTTAATATCTGTGTCACATATTATATGCATGGTAGAGTCCTAGCCCATAGGACTCTAGTGTATGGAATGTGCATACAGCAATCGTCATGGAACCCAAGGAAATGTAAATAATTTTAGTAATTGTTAGTAGTGTAACATGGTATACCATTTTTATTCTTAAATTACAGTAATGCATCCCAGGTGCAATGTTTTAGGGAATAGGGAATCAGTGGCCATGGTGCATTTAGGTCCAATGAAACATGAACCCTCCTGGATGTTTTCCTCCCTCAAGACTTGTTGCCATTTTTGTTTTGTAGGAGTCTAAACCATTCCAGACCTTCTGCATCTCTTTGTTAGTGCCACCTCATGCAAGTTTCTCTCTTGTAGTGTGTTTTTCTGTCTTAAATTGGTGTTAAAAGTATTTTTATTAGGGATATTATCTCACTACTCATGTCATTAGAATAGTATATTTGGCAAAGATCAAATTGATAGGTGGTCCAACCAAAATGCAAGTAGATGTGAGACAGTTTTAAGCCCCCTTTATCCAGCTAATTAGTTTATGTCTCAGTGGTATTGTTGGAAAGTTTTATAGAGTGATGCTACAATGTGTGCATTACAAATGTGTTGGGGCATTGTTATGGCTTTGTACCTGGTGTGTTCCTTGCAATCATAGCCTAATTTATGATGTATCAAAGAAGTTAATTAGTTTTAGTTTGTGGTGATTTCCACTATTTATATGAATGAAATGTGATTAAGACTTTTATGTATATCTTTGTCATAAAATTATTGTATTTGTGTTTAGGGTCATGGAAATTGTAAAGAAGTATGTTGCCAACTTTGTTTGTGTTTTTGAATTGTACTGATCAAGTCTGACGTGTTTGTCTCAATGTGGTTTGATCTAGGTGCTGTCATCGTACTCTGATGAATTTACCTTGCTTTTCCAAGCATGGCGAGTACACCTTAAATAAATTTATAAACTTCCTAAGAAAATGTTTTATTTATTGAGATCCTCCCAAGCGAAAGAATGAACTTTTTTCTCTGAATACTCGGCAAATACTCTGGATGCTCTAGGTATGCCGGGCCGGCCGGGCTGGTCGAGCTATTTCCTCTTGACCTCGTCCAGCTTGCCCTCGGCCAGGAGCCGCTCGCATTCCTCGCGAAGTTTGAACTTTTGGATTTTCCCCGACAGCGTCTTGTGGAAGTCGGTCATGGTGACGCAGTACCGCGGGATCTTGTACGAGGCCACCTTCCCCTTGAGGAAGGTGCGCAGGTCCTGGGCGGTGACGGTGGCGCCGCGGCGCACCTTGAGGCAGGCGCACAGCTCCTCGCCCATCCTCTCGTCGGGCACGCCCACCACCTGCGCCAACCGAAACATTCCAAACAAAATGGACAGGCAAAAGAAAGGGACTTCCACGTTGATCGCCACCCAACCCACCTCGACCTCCTCGATGTCCGCGTTCGTGCCGATGGCGTCCTCCACCTCCTTGGGGTAGATGTTCTCCCCGCCGCGAATGACCATGTCCTTGAGGCGGCCCACGATGCGGCCGTACCCGCTCTCGTTCAACACAAACTTGTCACTGCGCCCAAAATGACACTTATTTTAAGCTTCAGACTTGCAATGGTAATGGCTGACCCATCGCAACGTTCCACATCAATTTCAGACAACTTCAAGATCCATCTCGGCTCTAAACAGTATTTTTTCTGGCGATTGGCCGGAATTATCTGAGCGTGCGCCGGAAAGGTAGGCAACCAATCGTTCGCAGCCCCTTCAGAGCACCAGAGCTAGAGCTCAAGTAGGGAAAAGTCATTTTCCCGTCAAATAGAATGCGTCGTTGACCATGGCGCCGGCGCCGGACATCTGATTCTTAGACCCATAAGAAGTTTCCAATTTCAGACAAATCGGAGGTGGTCGACCGTATTCGTCGAAAACAGCTAAGGCTATGTTTTTTTCGCGTTTTGGGCAAAAAATTTAAAATGGCCCAAATCTGAGTATGTTGTGCTGGGGCACCCCCTCATGACTCCTCACACTATTCCGAGGACTATTTCGGCTCAAAACGGACTTTTTCTGGCGGAAAACTGGAATTATTTGAGGAAACGCCGGAAAGGCAGGCAACCCCCACAGTCTCATCCGTGAGGACGGCGCGGCGGACAGCGGCCTTTCTGCTTGCTCCGAAGGCTACCTGTGTACTGGTACCACGCACGACGACTCTGAGTCTCTCACCCAGTGCGTATCCAGCCGTCGACCAGAGTCTTTGCTGTGGCCTCCTCGTTCTGGAAGTAGCCCTTCATATTGCAGTAGCCGCGGACCAACAACTCTCCCGGCTCTCCAAACGGCACCAGTCTGTCCTGCGGGTCCACGACTTTGGCCTGAAACACCCATTTCAGAGTCAACTCCAACAGTGTCCCCAATGTCATATGCTGCGAGCACACTTAAAATTCAACATCCGACAGGTGGCTGCTGACTTATACAGTTCTGGTACCTCGATATTTTCGCCTATCCGGCCGACGGTCTCGGCCATCTGCGCCTCCGTGTCGTCCTTGGTGCCTTGGAACACGACCGCCGACGTCTCCGACAGGCCGTAGACACTCTGCACAAACGCACACGCGGCACGCGGCCGTTCTCAGCAAGCCGCCTCCAAGGGGTGTTCACTACTTGGAACGGCGCTTCGCTTACGCATATTCTCTTGACGCCGAGGGTGGACTTCATCCTGCGCACGAAGTCCGGGGTGATGGGGGCGCCGCCCGTGATGGCCAGCTCCAGGGTGTCGAGCTTGGTGCCCTGCGCCTCCACGGCGCGCACCATGTCCACGTGCATGGTGGGCGTCCCCGTCATCACCGTGCACCTGCCAGTCAAACGGACCAAACACCGAGTCAGCTTGCACCCCTGCGCACAGTGGGCCAGAGGACCGGTGGAGGCGGCCAAAACTCGAGACGCGTTTTGAGCTCCGGAGTCTCGAACGGGACTCGAAGCGAACGTGTGACCCCACCAAAGGATCCCTCGTTCAAAGAGCAATCCGTTGGTGGGGTCGGTTCGAGTCCCATTTAGCGACTCTGGATCTCAAGTTTTGGCCGCCTCCACCGGTCTGCTGGCAAATCCACTGTGCTGCGGGATGCCTCACGAGTGCGAGAGAGGCAGCGAGCTAGTGGGTGGCGTACTTCTCGCTGAGGGTGGCGGCGATGCCACGCCTCGGGTCGTAGCCGGCGCAGGGAAGCACCAGGGTGGCGCCGTGGTTGATGACGGAGCTCATGATGACGATGGTGCCGTACACGTGGAACAAGGGCGTCTGCAGGCACACCACGTGATGCTGGGGGAGGGGCCAGGGGTTAGTCGAGCCAAACTCAGCCAAAATGGCTGCAGAGAAATTCCAGACGCAAGCACAGCAGCGGCGTACCTTTTCGTGGAAACCGAATCTCTTTCCGTTGAAAAATCCATTGTTGACGACCCCCAGATGCGGAAGCAGGATAGCCTTGGGACGACCAGTAGTCCCCTGCAGAAACGAGGGTGTGTTCAAAAGGGGCGGGGGGCTTGGTCCAACATGGCTTTGGTGGTCGATTTTACGAACCGATGAGAACTGAATGTTACTGCCGTGGTCGGGACTGATGTCAGCGTCCAGTGCCTCCACTGCCTTCACGTCCTCGGCAGAAGCGGACGACATGACGTCGTCGAAAGACAAGCAGCCCCTGCAACGTAAGTCATGGTTGAGTTCCGAGGCGCCGCTGCTGATGCTACTGCACTGTCGGCACTCACGGCGGCGCGGTCTTGGCCAAGGAGATGATGTTCCGGAGGTCCGGAAGCACGGCGGACTTGATGCTCTCCCGGCCGGTGCCGGTGGTGCCGGCCAGCTCCGGGACGATGGCCGACAGCAGGTCGTGGTAGCGCACGCCGCGGTGCTCCTCGGCCACCACCACGGCGGCGACGCGCGCCAGCGACAGGCAGTGCAGCGCCTCCTGCTCGCGGTACACGGGGTTTATGTCCACCGACACCATGCCGGCCCTGGCCACGGCGATCTTGGTGACGACCCAGCGCCACGAGTTGGGCCCCCAGATGGCCACCCGCTCCCCCTGCTGCAGCCCCAGCCGGCGCAAGCCGGCCGCCATGGAGTCCGCCTGGAACACGAGCCACGCGTGGCCAGAGGATGACGACGACAAAAAACTGCAGCACTGTATCGAACAACACGCCCACGTGGCGTGGGCATTACGCAATCGGGCGCTCTGCTCTACGTGCTTCAGGGCACACCGCATATGTGTTCATTAATTTATCTTTCTGCTGTATTTTCGCCACTTGAGAACACCCACTTACACCTGTTGCGGTGTGGGCCCACGTGGTGACAAGCACGTGGTCTCGAGTGCCACGCTTGAGCCAGACAGACTCTTGGATTAACTGCTATATACGTAGTGTACCGGCATCTGCCCGCCTGCGCGCAGCACCCGCAAGGCCAAGGGCGCAACCGACCTGTGCATCATTAGGAGGAGAGGAAGATGCGTTCCAATGAGAGAATACCTTTACGAGTGGGCCAGCTGTCGCCGTACACACAAAGCCGTTCAAAAAAATTACTAAAAATTAATTTTATCTCTATTGCCACTTTTACCAAGTGTGATAACGATAAGCGACTCGCGTGCGAGAGCCCACTCGCAACAGCAGTGGATCTGAGGCATATGTTGAAGTGTGAGACCGAGCAGGTCGCCTGCACTGGCCGGTGCCCTCCCCACCAAAAACCCAAGGGCGGTAAAATTACCACTTTTGAGAGCGGTAATATTGCTACGGGCGGGATCCGTTTCTTACCGCCTTTCCAAGGGCGCTACAAAAATTATCGCCCTTTGAAGGCAGTAAATTTACCACCTTTCACAGTTGTATCGCCTTCAATTGTGAAAGTTGGTAAATTTACCGCACTTTGGAAAGGGTGGTCATTTTTACCTCCCTTTTGGAAAGGCGGCAAAATATGGATTCCGCCCGTAGAGGGTGGGAATATTTTTACCGCCTTCGTAAGACCATGTGGGTGCCTCCACCTACCAGTTGGAGGGTCTGGCGGTAGGTGAGGCGCACGCCCTCCTCCACGGACACGACGGCGTCCCTGTCGCCATAGCGCTGGGCCGCCCTCGCCGACAGCTGGCCCACGCTGATGTACCGCAGCGGGTCGCTGCCCGTGTTGTGCAGGTAGCTCAACCTGAGGATGGAAACTCGGAATCAAGTCGACCGTCCAGCTTATCTAACAGTCTGACCCAGCAGACTGATTCCGAGAGTCGCTTTCGACGCTCCGCCTCTCTCGCACTCATGGGGCGTCCCATACAGGTGGGAGAGAGGTTTAAGGTTTAAGGATGGACGTTCAACCAACGGCTCTGTCAAGCATGAGCCTCTCACTGTTACTTAGTGAGGTTGATGGGCAACACAGGGGGCCCTTAGTCCGCAGAGTGCGGCTCCGAAGAGCCACACTCCGCTGCGCGCGTACGAATGGGGCGACTGTCAACCTTGTGGTACAGTCAGGGTTTTAACCCACCCAATCTACTGCCCGAGCAACCGTCGTCGCAGCAGTCGAGGGGTAGGCAGAGCGATGAAAACGACTCTCGGAGTCAGTGCGCCTGCAGGCCCCTGGACGCACCCCTCAGGCGACGGCGCTGCGTTGGACGTTGGCGTCGGCGTGGCGACGCTGCTGGCGCTGTTGGCGGCGGTGTGGGCGTAGGGGCGGCACGACGAGCTCGCCGACCCGAGGCGCAGGCGGCGCAGCAACAGACGGCCCGGCAGGCCCGGCATCGTGGGGCGGTACACTACTAGGCCACGACTCGGAAGCGGACAAGCGGACACGACCTTGAACCTCGGCGTCTACACAGCGTCTGCTCTGGTGCTGCGGTACCTGGCGGCGGGCTGGGGCAGCGGGCCTGGGGCGGCGGACTCGGCAGAACAGAGCAGTCGGCGACGGGCGAGCGACTGGCGCGTGGACGGGCGTGGAGTTCGGCGTTATCACTTGGCGAAGGCAGCGAAGCGAAGCGAAGCGGCGAAGCCCAGACAGACGGCCAAGCAAGACCAACTCTCTTTTCCACCGATGCCTCTGACCTTGCTGTCCACCTTCCTCATACACCCATGAGAAATGCGGCACGCATAGGTGCGGACTAAAGTCCCCAACAGTCACTCTATAGTCGGCCTAGTGCCCATCCAGGACTTGGGATGCCCCCTCCCTTTATCACTCCCCCCCCTAGCGCCTTCTCCCACCTGCCCGTTCTATCCGCCTCCCCCCCCCCCCCACACACACACACACACGTTGCACTGCGTGCCCGAGCATCCTTCCTCGGGACCCGGCTAAATTTTCTTTGTGACGTCGCTAACGAACTTGAACCGGATGAGTTGGGCGATGCGGGTCGATGCGTCGATGCGCCCCACCGGCGTCTCTGCGTCGCTGTGCGTCGCTCCGCGTGGGTCAAGCGCCTCCACGCCTTCGCCATTCTCGACGCAATCACAGAAATGAAGTGCTTCGATCGCAGCAGACTCATTCCGAGAGTCGTTTTCGTCGCTCTGTCCCTCTCGCACCTGTACGGGACGCCCCACGAGGTCGCCCACGAGTCGTGGGGAGTGCACTTGTCCGTTACGTCCGAGCGAATCGGTCCGTTACAGTGCGGCCGAACTCGGCCGAACTAGTCGCGCAGTTGGCGGCTTGGCGGCTCGGCGCTGCCCTGCGCCCTGCGCCCTGCGCCCTGCGCCCTGCGCCCTGCGCCCTGCGCCCTGCGCCCTGCGCCCTGCGCCCTGCGCCCTGCGCCCTGCGCCCTGCACCCCGCAGTGCGTTCCCGAAAGTTGTGGAGTTGCGGCGTTGGCTACTGGACAACACAGTCATCCTTCGGGAATTTCTGTAAAATAAGTTTTGGAAAAATGCTGCCCGGACGTGGCAGGACGCCGCTGGCTCGGCACCCTCCCTGAGGGCCTCGGGGAAGTCCCAGGGAGCCCTCGGAGTGGGTGTCCCTGCGCCCCACCGCAGGGGCGACGTGATGTAGGCCGTCGCCGCGAGGAGGCACTGACCATCCCGGAGGATGACGCCCTTGTTGAGGGCTGCGTTCTGGACCGGCCTGTGCCCGTTGGGGCCGGCGCCGACGTACGAGCCTTCGCGCAGGTGAAGCCAGTGAAGCTAAGGGCACTTGTCTAGGGCCACGCCACGGCCACGCCACGGCCACCCGGGGTGAGTGACGAGGAACCTCCTGCCCAGGGTGACGACGGCGGGGCTGCTTTTGGTCTGCCTCATGCTCGTCTCCAACGCCGTGTCCATCGTCTGGGACTTCTACGACGACAGGCCAGTGTCGTTCATCCCCAAGGCCTCCAACGACAGCGCCGTCGCGGTCGACTTGATGCCCAAGGGGCTGCAGAGGGTCGTCCGCACCAGCAGCGCCGCCGCCGCCATGCTGGGCTTCCTGGCGCTGTGCGTCGGCTACCTCAGGAAGCGGCGCCACCTGCCGAGGCACGTCGGGGCGGGGCGGGGCGGGGCGGGGCGGGGTCCGGCCAGCAATTGCAATGGCAGTAGGCAGCGGGTCACCAGCGATCCAGGGATGCAGCGCGGTCTGCCAATCTCAGGTCTCAGAGACGGTCGCGCGAAAGGTACAGCCCTTCATTCACCCGAAGAGTGCAGCAGCCCGTAATGGTAATGGCAATGAAAGGCCAAGAGGTAGGCAAACCGCGCGGCTCCGGTGCGTTGTGCGGCGATTGTTGCCTTGCCTATCCTCCATCCCGCAGGCTGAGGCAGCCCCCAATGGTAATGGTAAAGAGGTAGGCAAACCGCGAGGCTCCGGTGCGTTGTGCGGCGATTGTTGCCTATCCTCAATCACGCAGGCTGAGGCAGCCCCCAATGGTAATGGTAATGGCAAAGAGGTAGGCAAACCGTGCGGCTTCGGTGCGCCGTGCGGCGATTGTTGCCTATCCTCAATCACGCAGGCTGAGGCAGCCACACCTGGCCAGACCGCGCGCCCTTCCTCTCCTCACTTTCCCACCCCCCGCGGAAGGGGCGCGGCGTGGACTGGAAACGCCGTGGGAAACAGTTGCACGGTGCGTTGGCAGTGCGTTGAAACAATCTTGTGGTCTGCCTCCAAAGGGTGTTCCGGATGAAAGACACTCTGCCGGGCAAACCGCGCTGGAAGACCATCCTCTACGTCTTCGAGCTGTCCGTCTTCTCCATACCCGTGTCCGCGTTCCTGCTCGAGTCGTTTTACGAGGTTTGTCAATGTTGCAGTGAGTTTGTTGTCCGGCCGGACGTCTGCCCGTCCGCCGCTCCACTTGTTTTGCTCTCTCTCTCCGATCCGCTGCATAGGAAAGGGGCGTGTCCAACACCGCCATCTTCGCCGCGCTCGGCACCCTGTACCTTCTCGAGAAGTTCATGTTCCTGCATCTCGTCGCGACGGTGGGCGTCGTCTACTCGGAGATCAACGCGGGGCTGGAGGCTCTCGAGGACAAGGCGAGTGGCGTTTGCCGGACGCGCGTCAGTGTGCGTGTGTATGTGTGTGTGTCTTTCTGATAAGCGCGGATCCAGTGGAGGATCCGGTCCCGGCAGAAAGCCACACTTTGCCCCCCCCCCCCCCCCCCGCCGGGCCGGACCTGGCTCCGCCACTGCTCTCTGACGGCGGCCTTTCAACCCCAGATCGGCGGGGCCTTGACGCCGGCCTTCGGGGTGGACAAGGGCGTCCTCAAGGGCGCGCGCAAGGACGTGCACAAGGACGTGCGCCTGCTCCGGCAGCAGCACATGGCGGCCTGCGAGCTCCTCGAGCAGCTCACGCGCAGCTACGAAGTCCAGGTACTGGTACACTGTGCGTGGCACCGGCCGGTGCACCGGGAGCACCGGGCGGCGCGGCGCGTCCCCCCGACTGTGTCTCGCGTCGCCTCGCTCACGCTGCTTTGCGCCGCCGCCAGGTGCTGGCCATCCTCGTGTGCGAGTTCGTGCTCAGCGTGCTGGTGCTGTACGTGCAGGCGCGGAGCGTGCTGCAGCACTCCTTCAGGCCGAGCGACCTGGTGGCCCTGCTGTTCCTGCTGCTCATCACCCAAGTCACCACGCTCATCTACGACACCTGCCGGAGCACCAGTGACAAGGTCGCTTGTGTTGTCCCGCTCCTCTCAGAGACCATTTCCAACTCCACCGCCAAATTTCTCAAGTTACTCTACTGTTCTAGTAATGTTTATTTTGCATCCTCAGGGCAACAAAACAGCGAAACTGGTCCATAAACTGCTCAACTCGAGGAAGTTTTTCGGCGAAGAAACAGAGCAGGTGTGTTCAGAGTTCCGAAGAGGGAAGTCTTCGAATACTCGATCCCCGACTGATTTTTAACAGTTCTGTCGTCACTCTGTCTCGCACTGAAGGTCCGGAGCTGGGGTGGATGCAGAGACGAGTTCAGGAGTAGGGTATCGCAAAAGTTGCCCTAGGGCAAAGGGCGCCTTTTTGCCAACATTTCAGGCGGGGGGGGGGGGGGGTCATATTATGGAAGACACCTGGCCCGGCCGGCCTGCCCGGTCTCCCAGCATGCTCCGATCTATCTTCCATATGACCTTATAGGGGAAGGAGCGGGGAAGGGGAGGGGGAACGAGGAGGACGTCCCCATCGCCTGCCACCCCCCACCCCCGGCTCCTGGATCCGGGCCTGGGTGCGAGACAGAGTGGCGAAGCAGGCGAAGAGGAGTCAGATCGGCCCCAGAAGTGCCACGCCAATGCCGCGCAAATGCCTCGCACCATGAGACTCGGTCACTCGGTCCTCGCATCCTTGTCCTTGATCCTTGATTCGCAGCTCGTGCTGTTCTCCATGCAGATGGTCGGCGGGCAAGTGTGCGTGGCGCCGTACGACGTGGTGACCCTGGACTACGCCTTGCTGCACGGAGTGAGAGTTGATCCATAGTTTTGTCGCGTAAATGATGCTCGTTTTCGAGTGTCGCTCTCATTCATATAGCTCAAAATTTGCTTCCAGATGATGTGCAACGTGACGATGCACATCGTCATCCTGGTCCAGTTCAACCTGACCTGATGTCACATTGCGTCACCCACCCGCCACTCGCTATTTTCCTGCTCTGCTGTAGATGCTAAAGATCTACATTCAACCGTTATAGGGACTTAGTTAACAGAAGGACTTTAGCTTTGGTTCTCAAGGTAGGCAACATCTTGCGCCAAGGTCGTGCGGGTTGCCTCGCGCCCCTGCAGCACTGCCCTGCGAAGAAGGCGCTCCCGAACTGCAAATAATGTTGTTGATGTGTGTGTCTGTGTGTCGTTGCCTCGTACCCACGAACTTTATAGAAACGAACATTTCTGAGGCCTGAGCGATGTTTGTGTGCTTTTCTAGTCTTTTTCGCTCTGGTGTCTGCTAATGCATGACATTTACGTTCACGCCATCACGACTTTCCTGCGTGTTGGTTAAGTCATACCAGAGGTTAAGATAGCCCTTTTCTTCTGACAATCAGTTGATGGAAATGAAGAAACTACGGGGGCAATTCCGAAGTACTATATGGGATCCAACATTGATCCTGTCTCAAATTTTGTCAGTGCAATTCATATTCTACTGCTGTCTAGGTCTATGGTTGTTGTTAGTAAATGCTGTCAGTGGAGCATATTGTTCCTTAGATCTTCTTTTTAAGTATGAGGTATGTTTCAATATTGGACTATGCAAATTTAATCATCCCTTGTCCAAATATTTTATTTTTCCTCTCTTAATGATTTAACATTGGGTTTTTTTCCACACAGGAAATACACGTTCAGAACTTTGGTGGTAGAGCAGTCATTGCAGCATTTGTCCTTAACAGTCTCACTGGGTTTGTATAGTAACTTGATATTTTTCTCTGTTTAGTGAATTTCCTTCCTTTCCTTTATATTTGTGATTTCCTGTCCTTCCAGGGCCATTGCCTTATGGTTCATCGTTTGTCGTACAAAGCAGTGTTTGGACTTTGCTGCAACTGCACATTTTCTTCACCTGCTGATATGTTGGCACTATAATAGTCATTTTCCAGCAACACTTTCATGGTGGCTCTTAAATGCGGCTTGTGTCACTATCATGTGTGTATATGGAGAGTACTTGTGCTTACGGACTGAACTTCAGGCAATTCCTTTGAGTGTAGGCCCAAAGGCTGACTTATAATATTAATCTTTTCTTTCAAATGTTGGTTACAACTCTTATTTTAAGCTAATAGCTCGTCAAGAAAAATTGAGGATTCTGATTTGTTCTGAAAACCTCACATCAAACTAAATTAAAATGTGATTCTGCTTTAAAAATCAGAAGTACATTTAGTCAGGACCTTTGTTTAATATTTGTGAAATAGTTTTATTTTTATACAAGTATTGTATTGATAATTTAGTGCCTTATAAGTGTTAATACTTTACCAAAGAGATGGAAATAATTAATATTATTATTATTATTAAGTATATTTGTAGATGACTGTTACTTGTCTTTCAACTGACACACTCCACGAATGTTTTTATTTTTAAACGCGTTTACTTGGTAAATGATGTACTAGTTCATTCTAAATTTTGCACTCTACTTTCATCATGTTTAAAGAAAATAAGGGTGAGTGAGGTGCAAGAAATATATTTTACCAAAAAAATTTACTTGAGTATGTTTTTTTTTATTTGGCAATATGCCAAATCAATTTATTCCCTAGTATTCAGACATTATTGAGAAAAAGGGGCACTGCTCACCACCATACCTTCTACAGAGACTCAGAGTTTTTGAGTCATTAGCCATACGTTCACAGCAATCGTCAGACCAAAGTTCATGCGAGGATTGGAATTTCCCGCCTCTTTTTGTGAATGGTCCGACTGGTCACTAGGTCCGACCAATCAAGGCAAACCAAGTCTTAGGTTAGGTTTACCGGGACTTACACACCATGTCCGTCCATGGACGAAGTAATTTCCTCTCGTTTATGAACTACAGTAATTGGATTTTTCACATCTTCCTTTTGAGTCCTCAGACATGCAAAACAAGGTGAAAATACTGTGTTGATTTTGTAAAGCTGTCTCACGGCGGCCGCGGGGTGCCATAGGTTTATGCCACTAGGTCTTACCTAACAGCTAGGCCCATTAGCTCAGTTGGTTAGAGCGTCGTGCTAATAACGCGAAGGTCGTGGGTTCGATCCCCCCATGGGCCACTCCTTTTTACATGGATTTCTAACTCAATTTGTTGAAAGAATTTCTTTACCTCTTGCACAGTTTCAAGTTCAAGACATTTTCTTAAAAAAAAAAAAAAATCTGACAGATTTGCGCTAAAGTACTTAATGATCAGGTTTGCTGTGGTGAGATCTTTTCTCTTTTTGTAAAATCACTTATGTATGAAGGACCAGGAGACAACAGGGATGCTGGATGAATAGAAAAGAGAAACAGACTTTAATATGTAAAAATACATATATTATTTACAATATATTACCAATTTTTCCAAGCAACTCAAATATTCCACTTTCTTACTATGTACAACTTTTTTATACATACATATGTTGAAGCGAGTCTGCTGCCAATATCAACACACTATTTTAGATTAAGAGATCTTACACAAGATTTTGTTCCCTCAATGATTATGGAAAACACATCATGTAAACATGTTGTTCAAAAACTTCATTAGAAACATACACTGCCAAATAGATACATACATTAACTTAAAAATGTGTATTTTGAGATAAATTGTTAATTAAGAGGGCCACAGTTTGGAATATTCTGTCATCAGTTCTTTTGTGAATACATTAACACGGTCACTGCAGGATGACTTCAATACTAAGGTCACCTCACAGCAAAGGTAGGTGTTTACAACTGATTTTTCATTCATAATGGTTTTCCAGAGGTTGTCAAAAAACTTCTTCCAAGAACCTTATGCAAGTCTTTGAACAACCATGAATACAGATCTATAACAGACTACATGAAAACAGGTATGTGCAACTAGTATGCATTTGCGATTTCCTTGCTGGTTTAGCCAGTCTTTGGTTAAAAATAACACAAGGTAGCAGGGAAACAATTTTTCAAAATGCCATAGTGGAACAGCTTACAACCTTGAAAGATTCTTAAGTATGAAACAGAGGCACTTCAACTTAATTACATTCTAGTACAAAACTGAAGACTTAATTTTTCCAGCTGTCATACTGCCAGTCAAACAGCAAAAGCCTATTTTCTCCCCAATAAAAAGAGCAAAAATGCTTGGTAAGCATGGTAACCAACTGCACTTCTTCCTAAATATGAGATGCTCAAAACTGTTTACTTCTCTCAAAGAACATGTGCAAATCTAGATGAGCCTCAATGAAAATTAACTATCTATCTTGTACCATATCAGCTATTACTATTCTGATAAATCACACCAGATACCCTCCTCAAGTATTTCACAAAAATTAATGTGAACTACTTCTCAACATCAGAGGTTATGAGAGAATGACACAGATTCATTCTTGTTTTTTTCTTTTAAATGAATTAACTTAACTTTATCCCTGTTTTTTCCCATGCATTGCACTGCAAAAATAGGATGGCACATAACTGTTCCATACCACTGAAAAATAGATATGGGAAAAGAAAAGGAGAGGGATGTCATAACAAAATTTCATAAAGTAATTCTTCACAAAATTTACACAAGTAAACAATTTATACATGAGAAATTAACATCATTCCAACAAAATAAAAAAATTATTAAAAATACTATTGCTATTTACAACAACAAATACAGACACATGTGAAATCAAACAATAACTCCTTAATGAATCAACAAAGACCAGGTCTCAATTAAATTAATGTTTGCTTGATCTCAAAAGCACCGCAATTACTGAATAAAATTGCTGTTGTTAAGGCTGATAATGTAAGTTCGTCCGTTTTGCTTCTTTCAAAAAATTAACTTGTTTCACTAGAGAACAATGAGAGGGATTCTAGACCTCTGTGACAATTTAAGTATACAGCTGAAGCATGCTCAAGATGAAACAATTTGATCATCTGTCCTCCTATTAATAAGTCAGCCTTAAGTAACAGCACACAAAGTGTTTCAACTTCTTGGTCACTGAAAAATAATTCAGGCTTCAAGATGGTTCTAAGTCCAAACAAAGATTGAGAAGACATAAACAGAATACATTGTTCAAGCACACAAAGAATTCAACATTCAATAAAGCGTTACACTGAGAATAACATAATGTATGTGAACTATACATTTATAAAGTTTTATGTGCGGTGGATATCTTCACTCTGTTTAACAAAAAAATCTCTTTAAATATTAGAATATAAAAACTTTGCACCCTGACCCTTCTCCTTACAAATTATTAATACCTTAATTGGACTGACATGTGACAAAAAGCACAATCAAGCAAGTCAAGATTTATGTACTTTTCTCATTAGGTGACTCTTATAAAATAGCATCTCAACCAAATTATTGGATCATTTTCAGACTTACCACTAATTGAACTATTTAAGCAAAATTCATGCATATGAAAAGCAAACATCAACTCAAGCCCCTGCGGTCCACTGATCATTCAGGTTCAACATTAAAACATAGCATACTTGATTAGAGCTAAAAACAGGCGGTTGAGAAAAGATAGCATTTCATCCATAAGTATAAAGTATTTGTCAAATAATTCAAACGCAAAGGCATTGAAACTAACAGGAGAAAATAGAGTTACAATGCTGTAATTGACCAGATAACTGTTATAGGTAGGAAATGAAGGAGAAGGGCTAAGACACAAGTGACAATAAATTAAAAAAAAAAAACCACTTACTACATCTTCCATACATAGAAGCTTACCCTATAACCGAACCCACAGATCAAACTTGCCCGCACAACTCTCAAAGGCATCTGTAACCATGGAATTGTTACTGCAACTCGGAGACTTGTGCATTAGATACCAATGATTATTATTGACCACAGCCCAGCACGGTTGAATTGATCATAAACATACACTCCCCATGCCACCAGCATGAGTGAATGATAATGTAAATAGTCTATGCATGTGTGTCACAAAAATAATCACTAGAGTGGCAACTGGATGAGCTGACAACTAGATCTTCAAGCCAAATTCACTACACAAATCTTAAGGTTAAAAAATTACTCATAGGCGCCTGATGCAGAAGAAAATGATGGAGCATGGGGTATTTCATTTTTCCAAACTTACATTAAAATCACATGATTTCCATTCGACTAAGAACACCCCATGCATTGCAATGCAGTCACACAATAAAGCTGATAGTCTCTGAGACAAAGTGAAACGAGATGGCAAAATGGAGTACTTAACTGTTAAGGGGTTCATTTCACAAAAATATTGCATCAATGTTCACACAAAAGGCATTGTACAGAAAATCCCCCCTCGATATGACTTTATACTTAAGTAATTATAACACATCTCACTACATGTTTAAGAACTTAATACATTTCTTCACTAAAAATGTACCATTCCAGAGGAGATTGTGGCTACCAGACGCCCAGGCAACTAACATTCGACTGATGGCATTACATCAGCCGCATCATCACAGATAGCATTGGAGCACAGTACTGCCAGACTAAATGTCGACAGATCATTCTGATTTTGTTTGACAGTACAGCTCTTTAAGTGATTTCAGCTCATCAATCAGAGCTTTATTCTGATTCTCCAAAACAGCTACTCTGTTTTCAAGACACTTTATGTATTCCTTCTTCTTCCTCCGACATTCTCGTGCAGCCTCCCTAAAGTTTAAGATAACAGTAAACATTATGTAACAACATAACAAGCAGTAGAATAGAGATTTCAAAGTAATTGAAAAGTTACCTGTTTTTAAGAAGCCTCATTTCTCTTTTCCTTGACTGATCCTCTGGCATGACCGAACCGCCACTTAACCCACCGCCTTGCGTTACTACTGTAACAAGAAAAGTGTCTTTGCATGAGAACAGACATTTTACAATTTATCATAACAATAAAAGGAAGTCATATAAAAGTAAAAAGAATGCCATTTGGCAGACAAAGAGATGAAAGCCTCATTTAGAAAATACACAAACTAGAATGAAACAATGCATTCACTCAGTTGTAATGTAATAAGCACAACATGCCTATGAAAATTAGCACACACAGGGAGCAACCCAACTTCTTATGACAGGTGAACACACACAAAACACAAGCATATTTCTAATAAGAAAATGAATTCTGTGGGCCAAACATCTGTTCTCCTCCTATAAAAATCACATTAGACTAAAAGCCTTCCTCAGAGATGAGGAGACAGAACAAAAATGGGACAGCCAAAATTAAAAAGCAAACTAAGACATGCACATTTAAACACACAGAAAAATCCATGGATCCCACCAAATCGAAAAAAGCAACTTCAAGCAGGGAACAACAAAAGGAAACGAATGAACCCTTTAGCAAAACATTATCATGCAAAGCAAGTTAATCACTTTCAACGTTGAAGAAAATTTCATTGTACTTAATAATATGGTCAAATTTCAAAAATTTCATAGCAATTCAAACCAAATTTCAGTTTAAGAAATTACTACATTTCAATCTAATACATAAAAAGAAATTGCACGATGCCCAATACCTTTCCCATAGCAAGTGAGTTCAAAATTGCCAACAATTCTCTAAAAGAACCCATTAAGACAGGGGAAAAATATTCTGACGCATTCAAGTACAATGTAAAATATACATTGAAACCACTTTGAACTGGGGAAGTAAGAAGGAAAATGGCTTGGATAGTCCGGTGATATGGTCGTAAGTGTGATGGCAATCTTTGAAATAATAACTGTTGGGAAGTTTCTGATTAACTTTTGATCATTTACAGGGTCTAAACCAGGTCAATACCATCATCCTAACAGCTGCCAATCTTGTACAATAAACAAAAATTAGAATGTCAAACAAACAATTCTTTCATTATTAGTTTAAGGTTAGGGCAGGAGCCAACATGCATTATGACTATGTACTGGAAGTCCATATTACAGAAACATTGAAATTACAACTGTACATTGATGAAAGGTTAGCAATTAAAAATAACCAGGACTCGTGAATACAAAATCACTATACTTAACAGTGTTTTAGTGATAAAAGAGTAATCGAGAGTGATGTAGAAGATACACCATATACCAAACCACCACCAGATAACAACGAAAGCCTTGGAGATATTCACGACACACAAACCTACACAACATGTCACCACTTGTAACAGGGAGGGGATGCTCGTCAGACCTTCTAACGGGGCAAGACTTTGTGCAGGGCAGACATTGGAACTCAGTGCCAGGGGCAAGGCAGGGGTCAATCGCGTCTTTAATGAGTGTGTCCCTACCTATGGTGGCCAACTGTCCGTCCTCACCTGGGACATAAAAAGGGCCATCTTGCCCAGACGTGTACTGCACTAGCCCACCTGCAGCAGTGGCGTTGGTCATGGTGATAGTGTGCAGTCCCTGCACTGCTTCGACCTGACTGTTGATCTGTATAGTTCCTGCTGGAATCACTGCAACAACACCATACCTCTGACTCCTAACAAGAAAGTCTTTAGCAACATGTGGCAAAAAGCTCTCCAGGCTCTCAATCAATGCAGGGATCCTTTCAGGTGTAAATCCACTCAAAATTTCACTACAAGAGGTCCACAGATTTCCAATAAGAATGTGATACATGTATCCAAGTTGACAGCATGCAGAGAAGGATATTTCAACCTTGCAAACAGATACCTGATGAATGTATCTATTTGAAGTTCATGACCAGAAGGTATAGCTTGACCTGATTAAGACCCATCTGCCAGAAGAATTGACCAAAAGCCATCTGAACTGAAATTTGCACCTTTGAATAGATTGAACAAGAAATAATGCAATGAAACCAATGCTCTTCTGTCAGAGAACAAACCAGTGGGCATTTAAGAAATCAAAATTTTGTAGCATTTGGTTTCAAAGCAATTCCATTAAGAACAAAACTTGAAGGGGACCAAGTACCACCACCAGCCTGACCAACGTGCATGCCATCCACCGATTACTCAAGAGCATGTTACATGGTAATCATCTTAATATATTTTAAAGCATGGCATTCACTTCTTACTTCCTCGTTTCTACATGGTATGTACGTCAAAATCAATGGGTATATTCTAGGGCATGAGCTAAAATCTCTGGACAAGGCAGTGACATACCAACAGAATATTTTCTGAGAATCTCTTCCCACACATCTGAAAGTACACGGCATGATACCACTCAAGAGCGAGTGCAATTTTTTTTTTATAAAACCTACAACGTACCTGTTGAGTAGTGAGTAGAGAGGGAATGTGAGGAGAGCTCACTGTCGAGGTTTGAATCACACTCTGATGATGATTCTACCTTGTGTCCTGGATTGCCTAGAAAAGTCAAGAAGGAGTTTCAACATCGTTCATGCATGGAAACAAAACAACAAGGACAGGAGAAGAACATACCAGCTATTTCATCTATTTCATTAAGGATTTTTCTGTATGAAGGTCGTCTTGTTAATACATCCCTTCGTTTCCTTGGGGACATATCATCATCACTATCAGCATCGACAACCTGGAAATTTGCAAAAGTAAATAAGACTGGTACCAGATGGTACTGTATAATTAATCAAATCAATCAATCAATCACGCAACCCCTCTCTTTGCAACATGTAGAGCTCTGCATTAGAAACCCTTTCTGTCATGTGCATGCGTTTAAACACGCCTAGAGAGTTTAGCCCGCGGCTCCCAAGGGCCAATTTCTGGTAAAGTAAGATCTAACGGGGTTACTTTAAATCAGACAAAAAGAACATTTAAAATTACCTGTAATGCTTGGATGTTACCAGGAGTAGTCTGAATAACTGAGTTTGGTTTGACCAGTATAACATTTCCTGGCTTCAATTGGATATTTCCAGCAGCAGTCTGAATCACAGACTGCTTGTTAGCTTGTATCACCGATTGTACCTGAAAAGGGTGAAGATGAAACGCGATTAGCTCCAGTACTGTATCTTGTTTATAAAAAAAACAAAAAAAAAAAAAAACTGTGTACTTTGTTTAATGCTCTCTCAAAATATTATCTGAGATAGAGCCCTGTGTAGATGAACAAACCAGTACAGCTAATCATTACAAATTACAAAGAATAAGAGAAAGATTGAAGGAGGAATATATATAAAATGGCAGAGAAAAAAATATGCAGAAGTGACAATCTTCACATAAGGAATGAAAGCCATAATGTAGCTATATGAAAATAGAATAACTGACAAAAAGAAGCCACCTACAAGGTACAATACAAACCAGCATCCAGCAAATCACAAACCAACATCCCTCTGAAAAATATGAACAAAGAATAATCCAAAGACTAGTTTACAAAAGCGCAAATCAAACTTGACATGGGACACAAGTGGTACATTCTAAATGAAACAGAGTAACCCTTTTAAAACATAGATAATTTTAAAAATTTATCTCACATAAATTAACATTTTGAAAGAGATCAATGGACAGAAAAAATATAGATCTACTTTAACTTTGTAGCAAAATTTGCCTTGAACAGTAAAAGCATAATTGATAAAAATACAAGCCATACAGTACTAAAATGTCACTTAATACAGCAAAAAGCAGCACTTCAAATTCAGAAGATAAATGACTCAAAATTATTTGCAAAGGTCATAGTTGAACTAGCATGCAATTACCTCAACTGTATAGTTGTACTTCAAAAGCGTGCAAAATACTGATATGAAAATGTAAAGAACTATCAATTTAATTTAGGCTACAAAGGGGTACCTGTGCATCAGTTGCATTAGCCACACTGATTTGTTGTGGTATTGTGATTTGCATAATGCTGGCGGCAGTTACAAGACGCTGAGCCTGAGTTGACTGTGTAACAGCCAAAGTAGACTGAACTGTGGGTTGTACCGATGTAATGATTGCAGATGCGTTTCCTCCAGCCGTGGTGTGAGTCAGTTGATCAACGACAACCGGGCCATTCTCTTCAACCATTCCGTCCATAGCCCAATGGCACTAAGCCTGAAACAAAAACAATAAGAGCACATGAGATGAAGTGTGGACAAAAAAATAGAAAGGGAGCTAAACCGGAACTGGACAAAATCACTCTTCTGATGGAACAAAAGTACATGTAACCAAAAGATGTTTGACATACAATAATATTAAAGCTTGCAGCAAAATCACACTGTTCTATAGTCAAAACTGTTAAAGTATGGTTCAGAGAGACAGGAGATCACCACTGATTAAAAATGGGAAATCATAAAGAGAGAGGGATAAAATTAATCTTTATTTGATAGTAAGCAAAGCATAAATTTAAGTTCACTATGACAAGAAGCCAAAGTAAAATTCTACCAGTTCCATTTAAAAAAAATTAAGATAACGATCGATGTATGGATAGTCAAATTTAGATAAGCAGGAAAGCCAGTCACAATTTCCAAAGTGATGTCTTAAAATGGTCGAAACGCGGAAGCAAAACAAACAAACCATAGGTTTGCCCAGACTGGCGAAGTGAGGTTATGTCCGTGCTTACTTGATTCATCGGACCCGATGACATGCGTGACAGTGGTTCATTTCCAGACTGACATGGGTATAAATGGCCAGAATGGCACGCTTCGCCCTAAAATACCACTACCCCCGAAATATTTCCAGGGCGGCCTTGAAAATAAAGTCAACACTGCTGCTCCTGCTAGCAAGTGCAGAGGGCCCAGGACGGTAGAACGGCTGTAGGATTCTGCTCGTCACAGCGCAAAGTCCAAGACTCGGCGCCAAGGGAGCTCACACTTGAGTTTTCGGCGCCACCCGCGGTACAACGCCTAAATGATTCGAGTCACCGGCGGCAGTCCGCCCGCGCGATCCTATTTCAAGAAAAGACGCCATATTCCGCACTTCTTATCGAGCAGCCAACACATTTCCCCAGTTTGCCTCGCGCGGCGAGCTCGCCGCGATATAGAAACCAAGAAACCGTCTCAGTGGGTGCGCGGGCCAGAGCACGCACTTAGTTGTTATTATGCCCTGTCTCGTCTGGCCCTGGCTGCACTTACCAGTTACGTATATCTCGTCACTCAGTTTGGTGGGTTGGGAGTGGGTACGGCGGCTAGTACGTAGCAGCCACGTCAAAATTTCTGAGCCTTCGTCACAGGCCACAGGCGCAGGGTAGGGGTGCCCACTGCTCGCGTCACACACTGGCCCGTCCGGCCGTCCGCGAGCGGGCCGCGGTATCCCTCCGCGCGACCTTGGGGCCCGGGCCGTCCCGTCCCGTCCCGTCCGGGGCGCAGCGGCAAAGGCAGCAGCAAAGGCAGCACACTCGCTACCGAACAGATGCCGCACTGTTGCCGCGGCCAGGGGCCATGTCACGCCCCGGGATCGGTTCACAAATTCACGGCCAGGTGCGCGATGGAGAGAGGTCGCGGCCGGGGCGACGGCGACGCGCGCGCGAGGCGGGGAGGCCCTCGCCTTGCCGGCACTACTTGCCGCCGCGGAGGCGAGGCGCAGCCAGGCGCCGCGTAGCGCCGCGTAGCGCCGCGCTAGGGACGCAGCGCAGCTAGCGCAGCATGCCGCGTGCGTGTACTCCACATGCCCGCGGCCCGCGCTAGGCCCGCGCCCGCCTTCGCCTAGGCTCCGCGGTCTCGCAGGCCTGGCCTGGGCCTGGGCCTGCATGGTGTGCTGCAGCACCGCGGCATCTGCAGGGCCAATGTGTTGGCCAGCAATCGGCCTCGCGAGTTTCGCTCCGCACAGCCCCGCCCCGCACAGCCGGACGCGGACGACGAAGACATTCCCCGTGGCCCAGGCCGGCCTTCCCGCCAACAACATGGAGGCGGTGATTCACCTCGTGGACGGCCTGCCGGGCTGGCCCTTAGAGAGGAAGGAGGAGGAGGAGGAGAGGACTGTCATATCTGGGAATGACCACGCAGAGCGCGGCAGACTGGCGAAGTGGCGCGGAGGACTGCGTAAGCGATAATCGCAAAGGGGCGATGACGTCAGCCGGTAAGGCGAGGCGCGGAGGGGGGAGGGGGAGGGCACCGCTCGAAACACACTTTCGGAGGTTGTCGAAACAAATGAACGCGATTAGAAATCTTGGGCCATTTGGGGAGGGGGGGCATTCGATGTGGGGGCCGCAGGGGACCGCATAAATGATGTGCAATCCAAAATCGACTGTTATCGGCCCCGAGACGAAAATGGCGGCAAACGGCGGGCCTAACCGCTCGTCTTATCAGATTCGCTATTCGTAGTCAGGGCGCGCTGTGACAGCAAGCACAGCCGAGTGCGGTAGATTCGCACCAGGGCCGGAAGAATGAATAGCCGGACAGCTCGGGGCGGCCAAGGCGGCGACAAGGAGAAACCGACAAAGCGCACATTTCCGTCCCGGCTGCCCCTTTTCGGCGCTCTTCGGCTCGGGGCGGTGCGGCCCGGCGGTCTAGGTCGTTATCGGAACTTTTTCCCGGGCTTTGCGGAGGTAAACAGAATGCTGAGGCGGCGGCGTGAGCAGGCGGCAGGCGGCAGGCCGCGAGGGCGGGGCGTGGCTTGGCGCGCTGGCTTGGCGCGGTCTCATCCAACAGGTTCCCGGTTCCAGCGCTTACGTCATAGATTGACGTCACGGCGAGGCGCGGCGTGGCGCGCGGCGTGACGGGACGGCTCACTGGGGACTCGGCTCGGTTCGGCACGGCTCGGAGCGAGTCTCGGCGCGAGCACCAGCCCGGCCGGCCAGCCCGGCCAGGCGTCCCGACGCGTCACCCCCCGCGAACCGTCCCGACCGCCCCGACCCCATGACAGCGGCGACGCAGGACGGCCGGCCCGGCCCCCCGGCCCTGCCTCGCTGTCACTGTGACGTCCCACAGGCATGCCCACAGGGCAAAGACACCGGCCCGGGGGGTAGGGCTGGCTGCTGGCTGGGCTGACGCGGCCCGGCGCCTCGCCCCCGCCTCTCGAAGCAGGGCCTCGCGGCGGTGTGCGACAGTGCGGGCAGTGGCACACTAGGCGGACTAGACCCAGGCGACCCGGACCGGCCCCACTATCAGTAGGCCGGCGACGCGTCGCAGGGGAGCCAATTTAAACGCGGCTCACAAGGCGTTGGTTAGTGGCGCGCGGTTTCCGGGTGACTGCCCGTTGAAGCAGTACACTAAGGGTTTTGTACATCGCCCCCGCCACTTCCGGCGTTTGATCCTTCCAGCCGACAGGTTCCGAAAGTGCTTTCGCCGCTCTTTCTCTCTTGCATACATGGGGCGTCCCGTAGGGCTGCGAAAGAGGCGGAGCGAGAAAGCACTGTTTGAAACGAGCCTGCAGGTCTTGAGCACCACCAGGGCTGGCGCCACGGCACGGTGGCTCGGGTCTCGCTGCGGTATAGCGGCTCGGTGCGGCCGGCTGCGTGCGGACTGGAGCTGGAACTGCTGGAAGCTGGAAGCCGCTGCACTCTGCACTCGCACTCACCATGCTGGCGGGGAGGGGGAAGTCCGTCCAGCCCGCGGAGTCTGAACGGGGGACTGCCCCGTCTTGTCTGCAGCACCACAACACCGTTCCGGTGGCTCCGGTGTTCCGAGCTCTCCCCGCTGGAGGAGCGCGTCGTACGTCCCTCTCGCGGTCGCGGCTTGGTCGCGGTGCAAGGAAGGCCTGCAAGGGCTCGGCGGGGCGCCCGGCGCGTCGTCGCGATCCGGCTCGGCTCAGCACGCGGCGACGCGAGCGGCAGCAGGCGGCAGCAGGCGGCAGCAGCAGCGCGAGTTGACTGGACTCGGACGGTGCGCGGCGGGGCCGAACGTGTCGTCACTGCGCCCCGCCCCGCCCCGCCCCGCCCCGCCGAGCCACGCGTCCTGTCTCTTTCTCCCATTCTCCCACCCCGGCGACGACACGCAGTGCCGCCTCTAGGCCGACGCGTCCACGCCGCCGCACTCGACAGCTCGAGCACCGGGCGGGCGGCCGGCGGGGCGGCGGGCAACGCAACGACAGGACAACGGCCATGTTGATGTTGATCTGATCGGTGCATGCGTCCGGAGTCGGGGCCGACCGCGCGCCGCGCCCGGCTGCATGGGCAGCCGTGGCAGTGTACCCGGCAGGGCTGACGTGCGAGGTGGTCGTCGAGTGCGTGTCCGTGACGCCGCGTGCGCTGCCCGCTAGGCCAGTGGCGGGGCCGGCGGGGCGTGCGCTCGCGAGGCACTGAACCGCGCTGTGGTTGGCGTGGTCGGCCGGACTGGCCGGACGCGCGGGCAGTGTCGGGACTGGCAGGCAGCCTCGTGCAGGCAGCCTCGTGCAGGCCGACAGGTATATGTCGACTGAGAACACGTCTCCGCAGCGCACCCCTGTCGCTCGAATATCGAACGGCCACGAGATCGGGCGTCTTCTAAATCGGCCCGGGCCACCTGCCGCTGCCGTGCACTGTACAACGAGGCCCGGCAGGTACTCGACGGGTACCGAGCGCGCGCAGCGTAGCGCTGCGGTGTCGCGGAGAGCCGCGGCTGCTGACGTCAATAGACCACAATCTTGGCCTCTGAGTGGATTAGGAAGGATGGCCTAGGTAGGATAGACGCGCGGAGTAGGGCCCAGGGCCCGGGGGCCAACTGGACCGCGAGGCGAGCCGGCGCGGCGGCGCAGTGCGAGCGTGCGCAAGACGGAGCGCCCGGCGTGGTAGGCAACATCCTGCACGCAGCGCAGCCCTGTCTCCGTGTTGCCTACCCTCGTATTACCATTACCATTACGGGCTAGACCGCCTCCCTCTGCTTCCAACCCTGGCCGCGCCTCGTCGCTCTGTCTCTCTCGCACCCTTCCGGATGGTCCCACGCGTGCGAGAGAGACAGAGCGAGGAAGGCACTGCTGGGGATGCATGCATGCAAGCAGGCCGAGATGCATGTATGCAGGTCCTCCCCGTTCCGGGCGTTCCAGCCAGCGCCGCTCCGCGCCATGCCACCGCCATGCCGAGCCCCGGCGTGCATTAATGATGGCGACAACCGCGCTCGTGGCGTTGCGCCGGCGGTGGCAGAGCCATGGCAGAGCCAGCGCATCGCGCATCGATTACCGCGAGGCCCCTGTTATTTTGCAGGGTCGATTGTTCGCCGCCCGGTCACTCTCGCTCCTTCGGAACGCGCCAAGAGTGCGAGAAAAACGGAGCGACGAAGTTCGCCATTAGCCTGCTGCGCGCGAGGCTGTGCCTGGGTTCGTTTTGACAGTGACGTCAGCAGCGGTCGCGTGGATCCTCGCGCCTCGGCTTGCCCCTAGCCTCGGCCTCGCTGACCAGGGGATCTCGAGGACGGGCCGTGGACGGCAAAGCCAGGCGTCAGCGCCTCGAGCAAGAGCAAAGCTTCCCGCGGTCCAGCATCACGGTCTGCAGCACCAGCACGCGCATGCCGCCCAGGCGCCATGGGCGCCACCGCGGGAGGAGGGCTGGTTGGAGCGGCCGCCGCCAGAGCGCGCCACCGGCCGGCGAGCGGCGAGGCGAGCGGCGTGTTGGAGGGGAGGCCTATCGGCACGGCGGAGGCAGCCGGCCGGTGGTGAACTCATTTGATCGCTCTGTCTCTCTCGCACTCGTACGGGACCCCCCATGAGTGCGAGAGAGACAGAGCGACCGCGAACCATTCTGCATAGCCGCCCGGGGAATCAACTCAAGTGCAGCGCGGAGTGGTAATAAATATGTATTTATCGGGTACTAAATCACTTATCTAGGCACTCTATGTACAGTGGTCGTTCGTCCATATCACAATTATTGAGATGCGGAAGAAGGCTGGTGCAGTCTTCCTTGACACTTTGAGGTAGTGAATAAAACACACGCTAGTCACTCGGTCGTCCTCGACGTCGTCATCTTTGGGCTTGCTTGTCGTTGTCACTGAACACGACGGGGTGGCCGGCGGGAGTCGTCGGCCAGGGGCTGTGTTCGTCGTTCGTATGGCACGTGTCCTCGGTCCGGGAGAAGGCACACACGGCGCTTCCTCGCGCACGGCGGGGTTGTGGGGCCACGGCGGGGCCATCGGCCGTCCTGCGACAAGAGGGGCGACAGTTAGCGTGGCCAAGTGCGCCAAGGCACTACGGAGGCGGACATGAGGGTCTTGCTCTGCTCACCCTAGTTGCCCCTGCTGCCCCTGCTCCTGGGGCGGAGCCGCCGCCTGCTGCCCTTGTCCTGCCCCTTGTCGCCCGCCTCGCCCGCCTCGCCCGCCTCCGTGGTGACGGAGTCGGCCTCCGCGGTGGAGCCCGGCGCTGGGGCGACGCTGCTGACCTTGTTCGCCGGCCGCCTGTCTGCGCCGGGCTCGGACACGCCCTTGTCGGCCACGGTGGACTCCAGGTTCTCGTCCTGGCCGGCCTGATCGGACCACGCCCACCCCGTGGCGGTCGCGTCCGTGGCGGTCGACGGCGGCGCGGGGGCGGAGGGCGTCCCACGCAACCTCTTGGAGGCAGAGGCCGGCGCGGGGGCGGGCGCGGGGGCCAGAGCGGGGGCGGGGGCGGGGGCCACGTCGGGGTCCGGGCAGAAGCCCTCTGCCGCCTGCGGCCCGATGCACGCCGAGTACGCCATCACGTAGGGGATGACGTTCTGCTCCAGCGAGCCCGTCAGCAGGTGCGCCCAGGGCCCCAGGCTGAAGATGGCCACGTCGTCGCCGCCGTGCGTCTCCGTCTCGCGAGGGAACACGGCCGGGTACGCGTACTTGTCGCTCTCTGTGGGCAAACGGCAATGGTTAGAACGAGAACGGGCAGGCCGCGGTGGAGGTGCAAGCTCGGTGCCTACCCATGTTGTCGTCGGTGAGGTCGTAGCGGCCGCCGGACTTGGTGGGGCGCTTGTAGCCGGGGCCGTTGGCGTAGTTGATGGTGGTGAAGGGCTTCTTGTCCACGTTGGACATGCCCGCGATGCCCAGGATGTCGTTGCCGCGCGTCGGGTAGCCCGAGATGGACATGGTGTGGGCGTGGTCGGCCGTCACCACGATCAGCGTGTCCTGCAAGAGGGAGCAGGGCCGTCAGGGCCGTCGACACACCACCAGAAAACCACCACCTCCCCTGCGCACTGCGCAGTGAACGCAGAGACCCACCTGCACGGACGTGAGTTCCTGCGCCATCTTCACCGCCTTGGAAAACTCGATGGTCTCGTCGAGGGCCCTGCGCGCGCGGGTCTTGTGGTGCGCCAGGTCGATCTTGCCGCCCTCGACGAACAGGAAGAAGCCGTTGTCGTCCTTGCTGAGCACTCGGACGGCGGAGCGCACCATCTCCGCCAGGGTGGGCTCCGTGTCGGGGTCGGCCACCATGTGGTACTCCATGTGGCTGGCGTCAAACAGACCTGCAGCAGGCATACCAAAGAGATCAACCCACGGCGTCAGTGACACGGCACCCGTTAAAAGTCCAAAACCTGGAACCTGGAGCCGCAGCCTCACCCAGCAGGAAGTCGGTGTTGTTGGCGTCCACGCCCAGCAGCCCTTTGCGGTCCCAGACGTACGAGGCGTTGGCGCGGCCCTGCTTGTCCTGGCGCCACTCGGCGATGAGGTCGCGGCCGTCCTTGCGGTGGCCCTTCTCGCCCTCCTCGTCGCGCACCTTGCTGGACCGGAACTCGCGCCGCCCGCCGCCCAGGATGACGTTGATGTTGCGGCCGGTGTCGCCGGTGACGAGCTGGCGCGCGATGTCGGGGCACTCGTCCGGGTCCACGTTGTCCTTGCGCACGTCCTTGTCGCTCTCCCAGTCCCGGGTGGCGGCGTGCGCGTACGTGCCCGACGGCGAGGCGTGCGTCACGCGGGTCGTGGTCACGATGCCCGTGCGCTTGCTAGCGTCCTGCGCCCAGCGCAGGATCGAGTTGACCTGGTTCTCGGGCTTCAGCGACGCCTTGCAGTCCGAGCGCGGCACCGCGGCCGTCACGCCGATGGTGCCCAGGTTGGCCTTGACGCCGGACAGGTAGGCCGTGGACGAGCAGGCCGAGTCCGCCACCTGGCTGTCCACGCAGTAGGTCTGCAAAGCAGCAAAGCAGAAGCAGCCTCACAGTCGGTGTCTCCAGTCCGCGACTCTCAAGTCTCCAGTCCCCCGCCTGCGAATCGCAGGGTAGGCAACCCATCGCACGCCAATGTGCGTTGGCAGGCGCGCTGGAGTCTCGCACCCCTATGGGTCGCCCTAGAAAACGAAGAGCCCTGGGTTCTCGCGGTACTCGCAGTCGATGGCTATCTGCAATGCTAGCCAAGGCGGCAGATGCCATAAACCGAGAGAACTCAGGGCTCTTCGTTTTCTGGTCAGTGTCTAGAGACAGGGCGGTCAGCTCCTCGTCTGTCCTCTCCTTACCTTGGACAGCCCTGAGTAGGGGAAGCGCTCGAAGGACAGCGCGGAGCTCTCGCCGCCGAGCTGGATCCTGGCGGCGGTGAGCGTGGGGATGGACATGCCGTCGCCCAGGAACAGGATGACGTTCTTGGCGCGCGTCCGGATGGGCTGCTGCTGGATCTGCTGCCTGAGGCGGGCCAGGCCGGCGCGGCGCCAGTGCGCGGAGGCTGCGCCAGACAGACAGAGGCAGTCGGTGAGATTACAGATTGCAGATTACGACCCACACGCCCCTGTTTGCTCCGGTCTGGCACCCCGGCCAGGCCGTGGAAGCCCGCCGCCCGCCGCGCCAAAGCCGAAGCCACGGGCAAAGCCAAAGGCAAAGCCAAAGGCCTCCCCGTTCAAAATAAAACAAGCGCCTTGCCTCGCCTTATCGCCTCCAAGCTGCCACTTCCTTATGGACGCGACTCCGGCACTCCGGCCGGGCACGCGTAGCGCGTCGCGCGTCGCGGCGCGGCGTTGTGCAACCCAAGGACGCCCTCCGCGACCGGCGGCCAGCCGGCCAGCCGGCAAGGCGCTGTGAAATGAAGCAGCACCAGCCCGCCGTCCCCGCCGCGTCGCGCCGCGTCGCACCGAGAGGCAGAGGCTAGGCGATTGGGAACAAGATGCAAATTCCTTTGAACCCGACGGAGGCAGGCGGAGGCAGGCGGACGGGACGCCAACTGCACGGCGGCGGCGTGGACGCGGACAGGGGGCGCGCGGCATTGGCGGCATTGACGCGCCATCGGCGCCGACGCGGCGGCCTTTGGAGGAGACATACAGTGGGGCGCCGCAAAGCAGAGCGATTCCCAACGGCGTCCCTCCGTCTCTCTCGCACCCCCGAGGGCCGCCCCATGAGTGCGAAGGAGACAGAGCGACTCGAGCAGTGTTCGCCGCTCGCCCGCAGGTGCGCGACGTGAGAACTGGGAACCCGATCTTGCCGGCAACGCTTATGGCGGCGGGCGAGCCGGCGGCGCACTTTTGCAGCTTTTGCATCGAAAGCGAGTCTCCACGTCGGCATTGTCGGCATTGTCGGCGGATAAGTCTGACACTGTAACGCCGACCAACCCCACCCCCGCAGCAGACTGACACTCCGTCTCTCTCGCACCTATGGATCCCCCATGGGTTCAAGAGAGACGGCACGACGAAGGTGACTCTCGAAATCAGTTTGCAGTTGACTTTGAACTTGGCACTCACTCTGTTCCTGCTGGTCAGCCTCGGTGCTCCTGGTGGGCCGCACGCCGTGGCTCTCCTTGTGGTCCTCGTCGGCGGCGTCGTCCTCTGGCATGACATGCGAACACGAACATCGAATCCGTCTTTACTTTGCGCGCTCTTCACACCGCGGCGTGTGTGAGTGCGGCAGCGCGGCGTTGACGAGGAGGTACTCACCGAGTTCCAGGTACTGCTTGTACAGGGACGGCGGCGCGTCAGGGTCCGGGCGGGCCTTCCCCCGCGGCGCCGCGGCCGCGAGCAGCACGAGGAGGGCGACGACGCGCATGGCATGCATCGCAGCGCAGTGGCGCTGCAGCGCGCTGCAACAACAAGGGGCTTCAGAAGACCGGCGGGGAAGTGCAAGTCCCTCCGGGGCCCTTGGGGGTCGCACCGGGCAAGGCGTCATAGCACTCGGCGGCGATGGACTCCGATTTCCGCCATCTCTTTGGCGCCGTTCCTGCTCCCACGGCCCTTCGCGGAGGCCATGCGCACGCCGCACGCCGCACTCCCAGTTTGCAGACTTGCACAAGGATTGCGTGCTGCCGGCCGTGGGGCGGGGTGGGCGGGGCGGGGCGCGCGCTGCACTGGAGAGTGTTTAGTCACCGCGTCGTCACTCACACAAACCAATGTTTCATTCGATCACACCTTTTGTTTTCGCGAGGTTGTGTCAGCTAGCCTATCGGCTGGATCGACGGCCAGCTCCCAATAAGAGGACCCCCTCTGTCCTCCGTCAGCGCGCGCGTGTGTCCGTGTAAGTGACCAAGCACGTGTCGCCAGGTCACACACAGAGCATGACGGGGCTGCTCGAGTGCTTGTTCGTTTCGTACGCTAGTTTGCTCGCTGGTTTGCGCAACGGTACAGATAGGGCAGCGACCGCCGCCACCGCCGCCCTGGCCAGACGGCTCGGTCTCCAAGCCCACCCAGTGTGCCAGAGTCTGGCCGTGTCCGGGCAAGACGTCCCCGTCGTCCGCCCGGACACCGAGCGCACGTGCCACGTGCCCGGCAAGAGCTATCACACTTTTAACATCCAGCGCGACCCAGAAAACGGGAGCGTCGCGTCGTTGAGCACGATCGTGGCCCGAAATATACGACCCGTTCGTCCGCTCGCCCCGCGCTCGCTCCGGTAAGAGTGACCGATAACCGGCACTGCAGCGCACTGCAGCACACTGTAGCGAGATCCATCGAAGTGATGGTGGCGACCTAGGCCACCCCCCAGACGCGGTGTTGACCGTGTCGGCCGCTAGATGCGGCCGTGTTTCTTGCAAGGGGCGTCCGGATCCAGCGGGAGGTCAAGAGGACAATTCACACCCCGGCTTCAAGACAGCCGCCTGAAGGGTAGGCAAAAGGCCACACTTCGACCCGGTACCGTAGAAGCGGGTAATAGGGACCACCAGTCGGTAATATGGACTACCCCTGAATGACCGGTTCGAGCCAAGCCAAGGTACACACAAGTTCGGGTGCTTGTGGCGGAAACGGTCATCGAGGTCACCGCCAGGCGGCATCACCGATCATAGAGAGGAATTTCCAGGGGTGGTCCATTTTACCCACTGGTGGTCCATGTCAACCTGATTTTACGGTAAGTAGGCAAACCGTGTTACTTCGCCCTGTCCTCCCTCGGAAGGACTCTGGATCCACCATTGCCTGTCGGGAATCAGCCTGCAGCACGGCGTGCCGCACGCTGCGCTGTCCCCCCATCCGTCCGAACGCCGAATCTGTCCGAATCTCTTATCAGGTGCGCCCGGCCCGGCCCGTCCTCTCTGGCCTGGCCTATGGGCGATCGCCGCTGGGCCGCGTTCGGGGCCCACGGCGGCCAGGGCCCTGCGTGCCGCGTGCCGCGACTGGTGCTGGACAGGCTGGCCGGTGCCGCCTGGTGCCGACCCTATTTTCCCTAGTGTTTGCGGTTCACGCACACAGTGTGCCACACTGCCACACACCGACGCGATGAGGGGCGGGGGCGTCGGGGGCGTCGCGTCGGATCGGAAGTTCCTCGCTCCGCCGCTCCGCCAGCACTTTGTCGCGTCGTGGGACAACAAGTGGCGGCTGCGGCGGCAGGCAAGCGCAGCAAGCGCGCCCTTCCATTATCTTTCACTTATTTGCGTCGGGGAGCGGACGGACGAGCGGACGGCTAGACGAGACGGACGGACAGACAGACAGACAGACAGACAGACGGGCACTGCCCGCCAACCCCCTGGCCGCCCTCTCTCCCTCCGTGGGCACCTCCTGAGGGCCGCGGCACTCGCGGCACAGGTGGGCGAATCTGCATTTCCCCGTGGCGGGGCGGGGCGAGGCAGGGCGAGGCGGGGCGAGGCAGGGCGAGGCGAGGCGGCGCGAGGCGGGGCGAGGCGGGGCGGGGCGGGGCGGGTCGACGCGGACCATACACGCATCAGTGCGGTGACGGGCGCGCGCCGACCGTTCCGGCTGTAGCCAAATGTAGGTCAAAGGGCGTGCGCCCTGCGCCCTGCGGCCCTTGTGGCGCTGCCGCTCCACCCTAGGGTAGGGTGTTTCACGTATTTGAAATTCGATCGTACGATAGGCTAGAAATGAAGGTCTTGGTCTGAAACGAAGGTGTGCCAAAGTTGAGCGCGATCCGACAACGCTAAGTGGGCGCGCATCGGCCCCAAAATTTTTGGGCTCAACGCTGGAACTGCGCGCACCGTCACACAAACGCGCGCCCCAGGCAGCCCCAGCGCGGCGGATCCACGCGGACGCCGTCTAGGGATGTTGCCTAGGGTCTAAGCTAAGTGCCCAACCACATTTCAGACCGACTGCCACGACCGCGGCGAAGGGTAGGTGACGCAAAGTTCAAATTTCAGTCGTTTACCCGTGCGACTAAACGGTGTACGGCAACAGCGCCAAATTTGGCATGTACACACTAGACTGGATACGGAATAGATTCAAAATGCCCCGGTCGACTTTTCGCAGCTCGATTTCCGCGAAACCGCGATTCGCGTGTATTTTTGTGCCCTTAATTAAGCACTATGAGAGCTCTCGCCACGAAACTACTCGGCGCCCGGAACTTTTGACTTCGGGATTAAGTTGAGGGAGTCTCGGAAGGCTTTCAACCCAAGTTTGGTCAAGTTCCGGCCAGCCGTCTGTCCAAAATGGCGGCAAACAGCAAAATTTGCAGACATTTTCTGCTCATTGGATGACGTTTGCCGCCATTTTGGACAGACGGCTGGCCGGAACTTGACCAAACTTGGGTTGAAAGCCTTCCGAGACTCCCTCAACTTAATCCCGAAGTCAAAAGTTCCGGGCGCCGAGTAGTTTCGTGGCGAGAGCTCTCATAGTGCTTAATTAAGGGCACAAAAATACACGCGAATCGCGGTTTCGCGGAAATCGAGCTGCGAAAAGTCGACCGGGGCATTTTGAATCTATTCCGTATCCAGTCTAGTGTGTACATGCCAAATTTGGCGCTGTTGCCGTACACCGTTTAGTCGCACGGGTAAACGACTGAAATTTGAACTTTGCGTCACCTACCCTTCGCCGCGGTCGTGGCAGTCGGTCTGAAATGTGGTTGGGCACTTAGCTTAGACCCTAGGCAACATCCCTAGACGGCGTCCGCGTGGATCCGCCGCGCTGGGGCTGCCTGGGGCGCGCGTTTGTGTGACGGTGCGCGCAGTTCCAGCGTTGAGCCCAAAAATTTTGGGGCCGATGCGCGCCCACTTAGCGTTGTCGGATCGCGCTCAACTTTGGCACACCTTCGTTTCAGACCAAGACCTTCATTTCTAGCCTATCGTACGATCGAATTTCAAATACGTGAAACACCCTACCCTAGGCGCAATGCAGGCCTTCTGGGCCTTCCCCGCTCTGAGGGCGACAGACACGGCTCTGGGATAACCTGGCATAATCCTTCCTTCCTGCTGCTGGAGTCCAGGACTGCCCCGCTGCAGCGCTGCGGGTCCACCACGGTGCTAGGGCCCAGCGTTGCCACTCGTGCAGTTGAACCGGGTTTGGGGTTTCACAGCGACTCTCTCTCGCCGTAGTCGCCCGCAGTCCACGCGGCCTCTATGGCTCTACCAGTCCCACCCGAAACGCGACGCGGTTCAGTCGCGGCGAGGTCCGACCACCTGTGCCCCCTATCCGCAGTGCGATCGCTCCTGACGCGTGTGTTTCGAGCGCGTTTTCGGGTCGTCCGGTTCGAATTAGAGCAGGTCGCCGAACTCGGGGGCCTGGCGCCCACTGTACGCGGCAACCACCCGGCGAAAATAGCCCACCGTTTTCTTTTCTCACGCATCGTGGTGCATTGCGCGGTGCGTTGTGCGAGACCGAGTGCGGGACTCGCCGGCTCGAGGCGTCTGAAGCCCACCCCCGCCTGAACAGTGGACCAGAAGACCGGTGGAGGCGGCGAAAACTCCAGACGCGTTTTGAGCTCCAGAGTCGCTAAACAGGACTAGAACTGAACGTGTGACCCCACCAATGGATTCCTCGTTCGGAGAGCAACCCATTGGTGGGGTCACACGGTCGGTTCGAGTCCCGTTTAGGTCTCCAGGAACAGGGGCTTCACGTCTGCGCTTGAGGATGGCACTCACCTGTCGGAGTGGTGTGGTGCGCGGGGACGAGCGGAGCACGGCGCGGCACTGCTGCGACACTGCTGCGCCAGAAGCAACGAGCAACCACTCTCAAGCGACACCGCACCGCCACTGTGCTGCAGTCACCCGGCTTCCCCGTTTGTATTCGTATTGCTCGGGGGGCTCGAGGGGCTCGGGGAGGCGCGGTGGGGCGCGGGGCCCGGCGTGGAGTACTACACGGCGTGGAGCACGCCGAGCACGGCCCGCGCGGAGTGGGGATAGGAGGGCTTAGCCGTCGTCCAGCACGCCCCGCGCCGCCCCGCCCCGCGCCGCCCCGCCACCGCAGCTGCAGCTGCCGCCGCGGCGCGGCTTTGGGCGCCACCACGCCGCCGAGCGACGGCGGAGCGGTGCGCGCGAACTCCGCGGTGTTCATCCTGAAAAAAGGGTAAAAACAAACGAAAGGTGGCGACAAAATGAATAAAATGGCATACTTTACGGAAGGGGCCCGGGGTGCACTACCTTGGTGCGGCCCAGTTTCTGTGCGCTGAGCCCTGCTCGTCTCGTCTCGTCGATTCATCGATTCATCGCCGCTCGACTTCCTCTTCTCGGCTCGCGATCCGCGATACGTCGAACCTCGATGGACTCCGATTTGCTGGAAGTCGCGGGGTCTTAATTGGGACGTTTCTTTCCGCAGCAGGCCGACTGGCTTTGTCAGTCTCGCTCTCTCCGTCGCCCTCGTGGGGCGTGCCGAAGGGGTGCGAGAGAGACAGAGCGGCGAAGCACTGGCAGACTGCAGCTGCCCGACGGGGCGGGCGGGCCGCACGCAAACGCGACGCTGCACAGTGGGCCAGAAGACCGGTGGAGGCGAGGGGGTATGCACCCGCGTAATAGTCGGTTCACTCTATCTGTAATAGCACGCGTAATAATACGCGTAATAGTCGCGTATTAGTCGCGTAATAGCCGAAATTGTCAAAATTTTATCAATTTTGGTGTGTTTTAGGCCGTTTTTAGCTAAATTCCGATTAATTTGTGGCGTAATAGAGCGTAATAGCGTAATAGTCGGTACACAGGTTCAGAGAGCGCATACCCCCTCGGGTGGAGGCGGCCACTCCAGACGCGTTTTGAGCTCCAGAGTAGCTAAGTGGGGCTCGAACCGAACGTGTGACCCCACCAATGGATTCCTCGTTCGGAGAGCAATCCATTGATGGGGTCACACGTTCGGGTCGGGTTCCATTTAGCGACTCTGGAGCTCAAAACGCGTCTAGAGTTTTGGCCGCCTCCACCCGTCTTCTGGCCCACTGTGCGCTGTGGCTGCACTGCTGGCAGGGAAGTCCGCCGAGTCCCCCGCCATGTCCCCCGCCGCCGCGAAGCAGCGCCGAGTCTGCGCCGAATTTCGAGGATCTCGCGAGGCTCTGCGCTGCGGCGGAGAGAGGTTTTCCCTCTTTGTCGTCTTTGTTCACTTTGTTGGTCTGTATGACTTGTACAGTGAGTACAGTGTTGCAGTGGCGTGGCCGCTAATCACCGTCTTCGCCGCGAAATCAGTTTTCCCGCGTCACCGGCAGACTCATTCCGAAAGTCGTTTTCGTCGTTCTGTCTCTCTCCCACTTCCGGGGCGTCCCGTAAAGGTGCGAGCAGAGACAGAGCGACGAAAACGACTCTCGGAATGAGTCCGCGGGGCGGCCGCGGCGCTGCAGGCACGTGTCCGTCCAGCCTCGCGCCTGCCGTGGCGTTTTCGCCGTTTCGGCTTTCCGAGCGCGCGCCTCAGGGCGCGGTTAAATTGGAGTAAAACGGCGAAAGAAGGAGGCAGCGTCGGCAACAACGAGTCGTTCGTTGCGGCGGCAATATCGCGTGGTCGCGCGCGGCCATTGTCGGGTGCTGAGTGAATAGTATTCCGGGAAGCGCAGCCCCGGGGACAAGGCAGAAGGCACGCCGACGATGATGGACCATTGCGCGGCGGCGAGCCAGCTCCAGCGAGCCCTTGGTGGCGGCGTCCAGGACACTCGAAGACGGCACGACGCTGCCACCATCCTGCCGTCGCTCTGCCTCTCTCGCACCGGTGCGAACCGCCCCACGAGTGCGGCAGAGACAGAGCGACGGACCGCTGTTCTGTTCGGGGCGACGCGCATGACGTCGATGGTGACGTCAACACGCGTTCAACGCGGGCAAACGGGCGGGCCGAACGAATCAATGGCTCCGCGCCGCGCCGCGCCGCGGGAAGCGCAAAGCCGAGGAGCCTCTCCAATCCGAGGCGACGCAAAGCATGCGCAAAGCGATAAAGCGGATGGACATGACGTTACCGGGAAACACGGCGGCCCGGCGGCGAACGCGCGTCCTCTACGGTGCCGCGGTGCCCGAGGCGGAGAGGACGAGAGGGCCACCCCTGTTGGGTCGCCCCGCGCGCACCCGGGACAACGCGCAAGTCAACGACATCCTCTGACTTGGGCACCTTCGCCAAACGCGGACGACATGCCGACAACGCGCCGCGAAATAGAAGAAGATTGCAAATGGGCTGCCGAGGACTGTCTCCGGACTGGCCCCGTCTCTCTCGCGCCCCCTCGGAACGCCCCGCGAGTGCGAGAGAGACAGAGCGACAAGGCGCTGTTCGGAATCAGGCCGATCGAGCAATCCGTCACCGCGCGGCTGCGGCGGCAGGCCTAGGATGCTGGACGCGGTTCCTCCAGTCTTGCTCCTTTTCTGGCGGTGCCACTGGTTCACGGTCGCGTCGCCTCCAGGCTGGCAGCGCTGGAAGCGGGTTAGCAGGTTTGCGCGGCTACTGACCGCCGCCTGCCTCCGCCTCCTCCGCCCCGCCCGGGTCGCCGCGGTCGCCGTGTCGCAGTCCTGGAGTGCACGCTGGAGTCACGACGGTGTCACGGGCGTGCGCGTGTGGCGGAAACAGAGGCTCCAGACTGTCTCCAGACTCCGAGCCCGTGGCCTTCCCTGGACGCGCAGCGGCGGGCGCATCCCTGACTCTTCAGAAGACCGGTGGAGCCGGACAAAACTCTAGTCGCGTTTTGAGCTCCAGAGTCGCTAAACAGGACTCGTACCGAGCGTGTGGCCCCACCAATCGACTGCTCTCCGAACGAGGAATCCATTGGTGGGGTCACACGTTCGGTTCGAGTCCCATTTAGCGACTCCGGAGCTCAAAGCGCGTCCGGGATTTTGGCTGCCTCCGCCGGTCTTCTGGCCCACTGTGCGGTGTTCCGGCTCGAGCACGTCGTTCTCGGTGCGGCCGGCGCTTTGCCAGGCGACGCACGACACGACCACGACACTGTTCGCGATGCCCGGCATTGCGTGGCATTGCCCGCCGGAGCAGGAAACGAAACAGTCGTGCACTTCCTTCACCCCTCCCGGCCAGCTTCTTTCTTCTGTCGCCTGATTCCGGTGGGCCGTCGCGTCGCTCCATCCTCTCTCGGACCTGTGGAGCGTCTCGAGGGTGTGCGAGAGAGACAGAGCGACGAGACAATCCTTCGGACTCAGGCGACTCGGCGGCCCAGAGAAAGGCCCGCACTTTTCGGTCCATCTCGGCGGGTTGGACGTTGGACTTCCCCGTGGTCTCGTCGTCTGGCTCGGCGCGGGCCGCTGCAGTGCAGAATCCCCGCGGGCCGAGTGGCGGTCGCGCCGCGAACTGCGCGAACCCGCGTCCTGATGACGGAAGCTGGAGAAAACATTGCCGGCTGCACCTGGCGTGCTGGCGGCGGCCTGGCCGGCTTGCCGCTGGACATGGAGGGCCTGGAGGATGAGGGGTGGAAGCGGCGGCCTTGACGTCGAGTCAGCGACCCCGCCATGCTACGCCATGCCCCCGGTATTCCTTCCGTCGCTCTGTCTCTCTCTAACCCCTACGAAGCGAGCCATGGGTGCGACAGCCACGCGGGAGGACGAGGACCCGAGGACACAAGGGCACGCACGGGACGGGGACGCCACGCCGGTGCCGCGCACGCATCGCGAGGACGAGGACGCACCTCTCCGGACACGGCACGGCAAATTACCATACCGAAGCACTGCCTGATGTCTCCGAACGAAAACGAAAGAAAAATTTGAAACCCGGAAGGCAGGCGGCGTACCTGCTAGCAGTACGCACCTGAGTCATTCCCTCCGTCTGAGTGCGAGCGAAAAAGGCTACGGTGGTTCGACTGCAGGAACGAGCTGAGGGGGACACAACATGCGTTCTCGCTCGCCAAAGCCAGAGGAGCCAGAGGCCAGGGCGTCAAATGGGATGCCTACCCTCACGGGGCAGGAGCCTCCACTGGAAACTCAAGCTCTGTTGGCCCGGCCGCACGGCACGGCGCGAACCGTGAACCGTGGCCAGCCGGGCGCCGGGCGTGCCCACACTGCCTTCCGTGTTTCGGCGTTTCGCTGGCATGGAGGGGAAGGGAAGGGAAGGCCTCGCCGATCAGTGCCGTGATAGCGCACTTTTCAGGTTCTACTTGGTTTATTTTGTTTCTTTGACTTAAAAAAGGTGGCAGTGGGTCAGGGACAACAACACAATGTCCTTCCATCAGAATGTCACCTTTTATTATCATGATAAAATAAAAGAGTCTGGGAATAAAATACAGAGTACAAAATATTGGTATCACAGGTCACACATTAAAAGCTACAATAAGAAATAAATAACTCCTTTTTCAAGCGACACTAACGGAATTCTTAGCATTAAATATCGAATTGAAGTCACTTTTAACACTTTTATTTATAGTCAGTCTTTTAGAAATGCAGTCAGCACCATGGTGCTCTCCTTTGTCATGGCAAACAATATGGACAAGTTTCAGATTTTTGGAAGTAAACAGCAAAGTAAAAAAATACATAGCGTTTATATCTTCATTGTTGTGCACAGCAAGTTTTGCTGCCTCAAGGAGTGCTGGACCAATTCTCCTAGATCGTTCGATTCTGAAAACATCAGGATAAGAAAAGGAGAGACTTGTGGTTAAACTCTTTTTTTTAAATCACTATCCTAAAAATTAAAAAGAGAAGCAAATAATATCTTACCTGTGATCTAAATTCCATGTTGAAAAAACTATTCTGGCTTCTTTGCTTTCATATGGGTTGATAAAATGCTTTGCATTTCCATTTGTTGCCAAGGTCTCCAAGTGCTGACAGTTATTTTCATTCCATTTTCCCTGACATTTGAACTGTCCATCTTCATCACAGTAGCTTTTCAATGGTCCCTCATTCTAATTTTTTTTTAAACGGGACAAAAACATCTTTGTAAGGACAGTCCTAGTTTTAAACCAGCACAAATTATAAATCATGAATAACTTACACTTGAAAAACACCTGCTGAAGTAACATCCAAAATGGTTGACTTTCTTCAAGCATTCTTTGAAATGGTTGAATGTGGCATCAAGTTTGGCTCGAGCTTTAGAATCTTTAACATATAGAATTGATTTTTTTATGTCATCTTGGCTCTTGTACAGGTATCCACGAATTCTTTCCTGACTTCGCCTGAACATAAAGTCTTCTTTCGTCAGAGCTATTGTCTCTAAACCTGAATACCAAAGAAAGGGTACAATATGGAGAAAACTGAAAAGAAAAGGAAATTCATTCACATTAATATTTTTAAACCTACCTTCAAACCATGCAGGGTCATCATCACGTTTGCTCAGCTTGGCCCTTTCCTTAGTTGATTGACACTCTAGAGCAGATGAAACATCTCGTATCTTGGCTTTGAGGTCTTGACTTAGGAAATCAGAGGCTAGTTTTCCTACATTTAAATAATCCTTGTGCACGGCACAGAGCATATTATACAAAAGCTCATATCCTGGAAGGGAAGAGACTGTTTTAAGGATGTTTCTTTAATTTTAAACATTAAATTGAGGGAGTTAAAAATATTTTCTTTACCAGTGGCAACCTGCATATCAGCAGGCGATAATATGAAAATGGTTTGAGGCGCAAGTGTTTTGAAGTAATCGTTGTCATCAACAATTGTACCATCTTGTAATCGAACCACAATAGAAGAAGAATCCAACTGGAAAAATATGGCAGAGAAGACTAAAATTTGAGCCTTAAATCTCTACTGAACCACAGAAACAAAGAGAAATGATAATGGAAATCACCTTAAGCTTCGAACAACCTTTCTCCTTCAGCTGTTGGAGAGTTTTGCAAGCAATGCCACAAATCCGAGATCTGCTCCCATCAGTTACTTTGTAACCATTCATTTCCTGTGCAGAAAAGATATGCCAAAACTTTTTATATAAAGAAACAACTGCTGTCCTATTGTTTTGTGCTAGATTCCATGAACAATTGTGAGGTTACATCTGACAATAACAGGTTGAAAGCCACGCTAGCAGTTAAAGTGGGGGTCACAGAGTGGCAAGTACCCAATTGAGGGAGGTTACCTTCTAGACATGCCCTGATGTAAGGGACTTTAAATGCAAAGCTCTAAAACAGCTGATAATGACAGCTGTGACTGTTTCTGCTGATGCCGCCTTTGTTTTGAGGTCGCTAGCCTCGCGTGAGGAGACGCGCAGGCGAAGTAGCGCCGAGGCAGTGTGCGAGGCTAGCCAACACCCACGCAACTAACGCCTGCGCGCCCGACCAACCTCTGCCCTTCGAATTCGAAGATAAGGAGAACCTGTTTGATTTTCATATGGGTCTCAATGTGTTCTGTACCAAGGAGAGTTAGAATTTCACCCACGTCATCAGATTACGAGATTAAGATTCTTCTCGGTGGGGTGCTCAGACTGCGAGGGGAAGGGAGAGGGGAGGGAAAGCCAAAGTTTGGAACCCGCCGCCCCACCGAATCACTGTAGGCTGCACCACCAACGTCTGCTTATCTATCGGGGAACGGAAGCGTCAAAAACACCCGACCTGTGCCGCTGAGCCCTGACGTCCTGTCAGTGGCGTAGCTCCGATACGCTTCGCTGGGCGGTGGCTGCATGTGCGTAGGGCCGCCGGGGCCGCCAGGTCGGCGCGGCCAAGTGGCCGAGCCGAGGCGTCTCATGAGGCGTGGCGTCTTATGGAAGACCGGACCGGCTTTGGGAGAGGAGGGGAGGGGCAGCACCTGTGAAGGCGCGTCGGCAGGGCGGGGCAGGGCGCCATGCTGTCATCCACGGCCCCACAACAACACCGCCGCCGCGCCACGGTCGGCGCAGGGGGCCGCCCCGCCGCCTCACCCGGCCTCGCCGCAGTCGAGTCCTACCCACGGCGGCGAGCACAGCGACGTCACCTCGCAGCGGGCCTCACCGTCAACACCGCGCCCTCGCCGACACCGCCGTGAAAGTGCAGGAGGCGGGAGTATCCCGGACACAGAGACGTTCCATCCCATCGGCCACAGCGGCACCCTCGCGCCAGGTAAGCGGCGCTGGGCCAAGCCAAGGGCCAAGCTTGGTGTTCAACAGGGTGGGCCACCGGGCGGCCGCCTCCTTATCGCCGGCACGCCCTGGCCGTCGGCTGGCCGTCCGAGGCCCACGCCGTCATGCAGGGCTGCTCGCAGGGCGCGCCTTCCGGTGCCAGTGACACGGACGCGGGGATAGATTAGGGCAAGACGGCGGTGTGAAGCCCGATTGGAATGTTAGACAGCAGCGACGCGCCACGCCCGGCCTGGCCGTGTTGCATAACGCACACATGCCGGACCGTATTGGGGATAGGGGCGTGGGCAGCGGGGCGTGGGCGGGGCGAGGACGGAGGACTTCAGGCAGCCCGGAGGACTTCCAGGCAGCCCGGAGGACTTCCAGGCAGCCCGGAGGACTCGAAACTCGAAACAGGCTCCGGGACAAGAGAAACACTAGACCCATACACCGTTTCCGGCCACGTTCGGTCTGGGGACTGGTCAGCTAGACACAGGGCGCGGCGCGATGCATGTAACGGGACTCTGCGTGTGTGTGTGTGTGTGGGACACGTGGGCAGCGTCCGGAATGCACCGGCTCCGCCTCCCTCTGTGAATGCTCAATGAAGACGAGGAAGACGCTAGAAACGACCCCCCCCCCTCTTTCTCCCCAGTTAAAGCAAACCGAGCCCGGCCCCCTTGTTTTGGCGCCACGGTCGGTTTATTTTGGAGCGCGGCTTGGGTCGCGTCGTCGCGTCCCCTACGTGGGGCTCCAAACCGGCCGGCCCTGCTAGCCCTGCTCTATTCAGAATGTCGCCTTTTCAGCTTTTTCTCCTCCCCCCCCCTTCTCTCCTCATACTCACTCAGTGCTCAGTAGAGGGGGAAGGGGGCAAGCAAACCAAAGACTTCCCTCTTCGCGAGCAAGTTCGATGAAATTTGTAACAACTTGAGCAAACTTCATATTTTTAACTGACGTTCTTGAACAAAATTTCATGTCTATGGTGTCCTAGTGGTCATGGGCTCACTGAGTACTTTCCTTTTGTTCCAGGATGAGCCTGTTCAACGGACTTTTCTGGCTGCTGGTCTTAGTTCTTCTATCATGGTGGATAGCTTGTTTCTGCTTTTTCCCTTATGTTGTAGTAAGTGTTCTTACACCCTGCATTCCTGGCCTAAAGGCATTGGCTGATATACTCCTAGCAGGAGTGCAGTTTCCATTTAAGTGTTCAGACAACATGGTGAACCAACGCTCTTATAATTCATATTAATGTTCGTGCAGCACATTTTTAAAAAAATCGCCATAAAAAGTACCTTTGAATCTGGTTCACGCTAGAAATTGATGACCCTCTTCCTAGTCAATAAATACCTGTTTGAACCAATAGCTGTAAAGCTTCACTAATGAAAAACAATGTTACAACACCCAATGTAAAATCACAAATGTTTTCAATTATGGTTGTGTATTCATAATATTTTATTTTGTGTGTAAAAATATGTCATTTAATTGCATAATGAGTGAGGTATGAATAAAGTTAACTTTATAAGTACTGAGTTTTAATATCCATCACGTGCAGAAAAGAATCACATGCACAAAGTAAAAATGCAACAAATAAATAAGTACAAAAGTGGTTGGCTTGAAAAACCTCAGAAATGACAATAAGAACCCTTGACTAGATTCATCATATAATATCTACAAAGTATCAAAAATAAATAGTAAAAGCTAAGCTGCTGTCTACTTTGGTTGATTTAAGACTAAGAGTGTCTAATATTACTATAAACAAAGTGAGATGCACATAATTGAAAAAAAGAGATTCAGATTCTCTAAGGAAAAAATCTTTGTTCTAGAAAACTGAAGTACAAGTTGCATAAACTTCAGGACAATGCTGAGCAGCAATCAATGCATAAGGCTGTCTTGAACCAACAATCACATTTTTCCGCACGCTGAATTTATTGGAGAGGTGAGCAGTGTAACTGTCCGTATGCATTTTCATTGTGATTTCACTTTTATTTGCCTGGAAGAAAATTGTTAAAATTGATTTACATGTGTAAAATATAATTTTATCTAGGGTATATTGTATTAAGACAGAAATAAGACTGTGTTTAAAACCATATCTCACATTAAAGTAATCTTCCCATGCTTCAAATGATACAGGGTAAAATGCTGAAGGTGGATGAACAGTGAAGCCACCACAATGCTCTGAAGTCATATCTTGAACCTGCATAGGAAAAAAATGTTTCCCTAGATATTAAAATGTGTTTCAACTTCATAAAAGGAAGGGTGATAGCCCCTCTCCCACCATAGAATGGATATTGCTTAATATTCTGATTCTTGGAACTTCTTACCTTTTTGACATGACAGGTCCGCTGCAGAACTCTTGTTATCACTCCTGGACCATTGTAGCCCCAAGAAGTTCCACTGAAAGTATTGCGTAGCTCATGCAGAAATGAAGCTGCCATTGTTCGTCCAATATTTGATGAGTCTAAGTTAATTACACCAGCTCCAAGAGCTCTTGGTGATTCAGCACCAGCACAATTCTTTAGCTTATGAAGCGACCTGAATACAAATTAATTGATCTACTGTTATTCAATGTTTGTACTAAAATTATAACTAAGGATGAATTTGCATGAAAAAGGAAAAGAAGCACTTACTTTAATACTACTACATCCAGGTCAAGATATGTACCACTGTACTTCCAAAGAGTCAGGTACCGCATCACATCACTGGCATGGGATGTGGGCCATAGACTCTTTTTCAGAGCCTGCGACTTGTACCATTCCTCCAAAGGTGTGTTTTTGACGTAATGCTCCAAATTAACATGCTTAAAACGTATATTAGGATATGTCAACAAAGCCTGAACAGCTAAATTTTTGGTTTTTGAAGAATCTTTTAATCTTATAGGGGATAAAAATAAAACATTGACTTCAGCATTTGGATTTGCTTTTGCAGCGGATTCTACAGCACAAGCTTGTCTAGGAGTAAATACAAAATCTCCGTCTCCAGCAGCGGAGGAACAGGATGTCTCATGAAAAAATATATTATCTTCTTTCTCAGGAGGTACGTCAGATATGTCTTCAATTTCATTAGTTGTGGAGTCATAACATGTAATAGGGGCAGCATGGCCAGTTTGCAAACCCATGTTCATTTGAAAGATCTTATACCACAAGGTACTGTCAAGCGAGCTCAGGCAAAAAGTTATTAGCGTAAGCACAGATGCTAAAATTATGAACAGCCAAATTGAGCGGTGTCCCATAATGAAGATCTTCCCATTCATCATGGAAGTCCAGCAAATATTTAATTACAAAGAAAATGACACCCAACAAAGTTGTATCATGGCATACAGCTGAATTACTTTGGTTTGACTTTGTCTGTGATTGACACCATGTACCTTAATCTTGTCATTTCCTATCAAAATGCATAGATCCTATCTCCATACTTGAGTTTTAGGACACTACTCTATACAGCATGCAGTCAATAGCTGAGACCTGAAATGGAGTCAAAGTCTCCACTCATGACTGGGGTTATGATTTCTTGTCAACGCCCAACACCACCAGACGCACAAAATCACAACAAACGTGTACCTGGTCCACCTGGCGGCCAGCTCCGGAACTACCGTGTTACCTCAGCTCTCTCCGGCACCATGGAGGATTCTCCATGCCGGCACGTTATTTAAGACTTTACAACTGCTGCACACCCTAGGTTTCTAAGGTCACACGCTTCCAACGCATGGAGATTTAGCAGATTAGCGGCTTTAGCTAAATTAGCGAGCGAAAAACGTTTTTACCGTTTCTCATCCTACTCTCTCTTCGGCGCCCTGAATAGCAATAGCAATGTAAATTCATTGTGGGCCCCCAGCGCAGCAGACAACTTCTGCAGACCAAGTTTTGCATGTGGAGGTAGTGAAAGTGTATCTTTTTCTCCGAATGCCATTGATTTGCAGTTTTATCAACTCATAAAAGATTTAAGGTATCGAAAATATGCTTTCACAATTAGCTGGGAAGGCTACTTTTGTAAATTATGTAAGTGAACCTTTGTGAACAGGGAGTGACAGTACGTTTGTTTGTTATTATTATGATAAACATTTAGAACTTATTAAATTATTCATTTTTGTAGCTTCCTCGTTTGACTCAAGCAACATCAGATGATGGAGAACCAACTGCTGGTTACCTTCTCGAGGAGATTACTAGTATCCTTAACAGGTGGCTGTAGGTTAGCATTCCTTTCACTTGACAGTTCCAATACCTAGCAGAATGATTGTCTACTGAGTTCCCATAGGTCTTCTCATTGTGTAGTTTTCCTTACATAGAGACAGAAATCACTTTTCAGTCAGTTGCCTCAAGTCATCAACTAGTTGATTACCTCATTCATCGATTGAACAAGTCTTCAACACAAGTAAAAATTAAGGTACATAGAGGATTGTGTAAGTTTAGACAAACCTCTTTAACTCTCAAAAATTTAAGACAATTCTCTAATGTACATTACAGGTGCTAAAAATTATGATTTATGTGATAAACAATGGTCACTTGAGTTTTAGACAACAGCTGCGACAGCATGATGGGTCTATTAAAAATGCCACACTTCACAGTGGACCGGCTGATCCAATGTTTGGGAACACCCTTTATAAAGATGTTCAAAAATTGGCTCAGGTTAGGTCAATTCTAAAATATATTCCTACAGAAAAAGAGCAAAAAATTAAATCCAACAAGATTTTAACTTTTAACTGTTTTTCAGGATACTTTAGATTCATTATTTAATCCTGAGACAATCAAAGAGGAAGAAACTGACCCTAGAGCTCTGTCACCAATTGAAAGCCAGCCAACATTCATGAGTGGAATGGGAGCTACAGCACAATCAAATGGAAAATATGAAGGGTTTGGAAATGCAATGAAGGAGCGAGAGGGTATATTTTTCTTTCATGTTCTATAATTTCTCAACAATTAACGACTGTCTGTCTCAAGTTAATTCTAACTTCCTCGTTCAGGTACAGTCACAGACAAAATGCTTGATTACTTGGGACGTCTCATCCATCCATCAGATGATCAAACAAGTGAATTTATAAGAGCTGCACTCCACAGTTCACCAGGAGACTATCAGCCTGTCGCAGTCGCTGGGGCACTCACAGATCCCGTGTTCACCGCTCCATTGCCCATGCCTTCCATGGCTTCTTATGTAAAAAGTATGACTATTCTCTTTTTAATGGAATTTTTCTATTGCCCATATTGAAAATTTGCTGTGATTGTTTGCAGGTCATGTGCCAGGCCGTGCTGGAGGAGGTTGGGAGTCCGATGAAGACAATGAAAATGAATTTCAAAACTCATCAGGACCTGAGGCTGCAGAGATACTACTGGGAGATCCACAGACAGAATTATCCCTCAACCTTCAGACACAGTAAGAATTAACCAAAGTAGTGATCTCATTTGTCTTGCACTGTCACCATTCCAATAATTCCCCCCTCCCCCTTAGGAATGATGCAGTTTCAGATGACAACACTTTTCTTGAAATTCAAGACGTACTAAATAAGTTTTCCCAAGCCCTCGGCGTGCCTTCAATAGATGACCTTGATGAGGTGTGCGCCAAGTAAGTACATACAACTGATCCTCCTTGGCTGTGGCTAAATAGTTGAGTGTAAATGTAAATGTATCATAATGCACCAGGTGCGCAGCCATTGGATTATCTCAAACTTGGACTGCTCTTCTTCGAATGAATCTGTCCAAGTGCACACATCAAGATGGAGTGATGAGAATTTTACTCCTTTGGGAATGGCTCTATCATTATGATAGTTCAACTCAGCAGGCACTTATACAAAATGGAGCACAAGTGCTAGATGAGGTCATGGCAAATACTGCTATTACAGAGGCCTCATTGTCTAAAGTGAAGAAGTTGAAACTCCTGCTTAGGCAAGTTGTGAATGATTCTTTGAACACCGCCGTACCAAAGAGTTAGAAAATAAACCTTGTAAAAAACTATTTCTTCTTTTGCAAACTGAGGATCGTAGGGCATATTTAAATAACATTAAAAGATAGAGAAACATTTATAAACAATGTGAGTCGCATTATAACCAATCTGAAGATGGCATAAATCAGATCACTTCTTTACCACTTGAATAACGTCTTCATCAGCCATCACATGACTACTTCCCACTCTTTGAGGAGAGTATTTGGTGCTGGTACCCTAAAACAGTAAATATGACACATGGAAGCCTCACTAAGTACAATAATACCAATAGCTAAGAACTCAAAATTGTTATACACACCCAAACAAGAGCATATTTGAAAGCATCTGCAAGAGTTCTGTGAATGGCATGGCAAACATGTTCCACAGTAACACCCCGACGTAAAATCAGACAATCATCAAAATCTGGTGGCTGCCCTGGCTTTTTGGTGTAAACTCTAATCAAGGCCAGGTATTCCCAAAGATCTTCCAAAAGCCCGTCCAGGTTTAGCTTTAAATTGCAGCTGGATGAAACAAAGAGACAAAAGACAGATGAATTTTTAAGAAATGTAGAGGGGAAAAAACAAAAATACAGCATTATACATAAAATAGGAACATTGAAAAGGAGGCAAGGTTTACCTGACAACCACACTGTTGGGACAACGAGCAATCCTATCGACCTCTTCAATAGATATTTGATCAACCTTATTGTAAACATACATGCATGGCAGATAAACTCGATTGTCAGAAATTACATCGATTAGTTCATCAGCACCACAATCTTCACGGAACAATACTTGAGCATTAAATATCTTGTACTCATGGAGAATCATCTGAACCATTTTCTCATCAATTTTAGTGAGAGGGCATGTTGAGTTAAATGCTATGCCACCTCCCTTCTTGATCTAGAAAATTACAAAATAGAATAGAGGCAAAGCAACTAAGGCACAAAGGAGGACAATCTAGAAGCAAGCAATTTACTTTGAAGTAGATGTTTGGTCTTTTCTTGTTCAAACGAATCCCAACAGACTCCAACTCTTTCTCTAGCAGGGAACGGTGGACGTCCTTCTTTGTTGCATCTAACATCATTAAGACCAAATCAGCTGTACGGGCAACAGCTATAACCTAAAACCATCCAAGAAGTGTGACAAATTTCTGTATAACTAGTTGGACAAACCTGGACGTGACAGGTTGATAGTTGAGACATGACATACCTGTCTACCTCTACCTTTTCCCTGAGCGGCACCTTCAATGATCCCAGGCAAATCGAGCAGCTGAATGTTTGCCCCCCGATACTGGATGACTCCAGGAATACATGTCAAAGTTGTGAATTCGTATGAAGCAGCTTCACTTTCAGTTTGCGTTAGTGTACTTAGCAATGTGGACTGGGAAATAGAGGCAAGAGATGTTAGAGACAAAAAACAACAGACAAATTGGACGAACTTCCAAAGGCGAAAGATTGTCAAACCTTTCCGACAGATGGGAAACCAATCAGTGCAACTCTGGCGTCACCAGATTTCAATACATCAAAACCTTCTCCCTTTTCAGATTTCTTCGATGGCTCAAGAAGTTGAGATCGATACTTAGCAAGTTTAGCTTTCAAAAGACCCAGATGATACTCGGTCGCTGCAGGAAAATCATAAAAGGTTTAATGGTGTACAACCTTAATAATATAACATTATATCAACACAAAAAGCCTTTCCAGTGCATTTAATGCTGAGGGTAAGAGGGTAACGTCACGCAAGAAATATGGAACCCGGCAAAACCTTTTCCACAAGCCCATAACCAATCTTACCTTTGTTTTTTTGGGTCCGAGCTATTTCTTTCTCAATTTCAGATATCTTTTCCAAGATTCCCATTTTGCTCGAATTTTAATGATCCTCAACAGGTCCAAAATCGATGACAAAAACGACAAATACACATTAAAGCTGGACGAGTTTCATTCAAACAACACACACGAAGAGAACTTCAAAGTACATGCTGGCTGCTGGTCACCCTGCTACCTCCCTTATGACTACCTGACATGTATGAAGCAGCCCTGTAAAAGGTGAAAAGCACAATATTGCTCGTTTATTGGCTTACTTGTGCGGTAGAAGCAACACATGGGTTTAAAATTCAAAATGCGTTGAAAATATTACTACGCAGTTCTTGGAGACATTAACAATAGTCTTTACTGATGGATGAATAGCCAACATAAAAAAAGTAAATAAGCGTAAGGGAGACATCATACAATCTCTCAAACTGGAGGAATTTGACAGATCGAACGAAACGTGTTCCGAATTCCTTTTTCCTTTGCCAAGGGATGACATTATAGCCCAGCACTCTGAGTCTCAATTAAATTTGTCTTGAAATGCCTCTATTCCCAAATAAGTTCTCCCCGAAAAAGATTCCAGGGCGCAAATTGGACCCCGACTCTTCAAGAGTAGTTGATCTGTCAAATTCTTCAGAATTTGGTTCAGAAATAGGTCCCATCAAGCTACGATTGGGAGATCAGGAAGCAGTCTTCCAGGATGGTCAGTGGATACCAGGTAAGTGAAAATAAAATTGAAGATGGTTTACTTACAAACTTTAGAAAGACAGAGAATAAATCAACGACATGCAATTTAATTGTACAGAAACAGGCCCTGTGAGTGGAAAACATAAAGAAAATGAGAAAATGCGAAACATTATTAAGCGTCTAGAGGATGAAAATAACATGCTTAAACTGAAGACTGAAATATTGTTAGATATGGTAAGTACTAAGGTCTGAGTAGAGCATTTCCTATCTTGGCGAGTCTCGAGAGGAAACTTTCAGTGATCCATTATACGAATTATTCGTGTTTGATTTTAGCTGACCCAAACTACAGCTGAGTCTCACCTTCAATCAAAGGAACTAGATAAACTGAAAACTCTGGGAAATAGGTTACCGACTAAGAGGTAACTCTCTCTATTGCTGCGGTGTGAACTCAGTTACCTATTTATTTTCATGATTGCACCTTTGTTTGGTCTCATCAGTCAAATAGTTAATAAACCAGATAAAGTTGTTTCAAAATCCATGTTTCATTTAAATTTTTCAATCCTCTTAAAATTTCTAAACAACAAAAAAAAAATTGAGTTGGGAAATAAATCATATAAGACACACATGATAAGATTGCTTTAATATTAGCAACAGCTTCAGCGGATGAGTGGAAATTACATCACATTGTGCTGCATTAAAATAAAATAATCAAGAAAGATGTTAAGTGGCACAGTAAAATCACAATTAAGAACGAACTGAAAAGTCGACTGTATAATGTTGTCATGCAGAAGTCAGTTTAAACTATGGTACGGTGAAAATAATCCATTAAATCAGCATATTTTAGGTGATGCCTTCACATTAAAAAACAAATGAGTAGAAAAATGAACAGTGGGCTTTTTAAATATGAAAGAGACGTAATGGTCACAGTACTTTTAACAGTGGAATAGAAGCCCCAATGAGCCCAACGAACAGGAGATGCATAAAATCACAACTATAAGATACAACATATAATAGAATACCTCTTAAGAGTGAGTTAATTGACTAAATTTAATTTTATCTTAAGATGCAATAAGATGATCTTTTGAAAACTTAGTTTGGTAAGCCCTTGACTCATGGATAAGTTGAGAGATAAGATTTAAGCAGGATTTATAGATATTATAACATACATAACAAAGAGGAGAAAATTTAAGACATACACCCTACTGAAAATAAAAAGAAAAGGATGTGGAACAATTTGCAACTGTTAACTTCCTGTCAGCACAGGATCCAAGAATCTATGCTGTGATGCAAATTACAAAAGAATCTGATAGTACCAGGTGAACCATCAGACAATACTGAGTCATCAACATGACCATCCACACAATTTTAATAAAACAAAAAACAAGATGGAAAAAAACAATTACAAAAACACATAATCGACCTTGACAAGAATGTTCAACAACATATGGCAGGGCCACACTTCCCAATTTGATCAACTATCAGATATGGCAGTAAGGTAATTTTTAATTATTTTTATTTCAGTTGAGTGAGCAAGAGCAATAGAAGATGTTAACCGCACTCACAGTGTCCACTAACCAGTGAAAAACTAGCAATGAATTTAAACCATATATTGCATTTAACAATTACTTCACATCCAAAAAGTTTTCAGTCTTCAACAATGACACATATAAAATATAACAAATCTGTGAAAAAGAAAAAGAAAATCGTTTTTCAAGAAGGACTTGTGGCCCTATCTGGGAGTGGGTTCAAGCTAGAATTAATGACTGCCGTGGAGTTGTGTAGAACAACATGGGTAATTTGTGTTGTCTAACTGCATTATAAAATGACAAATAAAGAACCTAAAGAAGAAGAAAGATAACAAAGGCAACTTTTACAGAGAAAATTTAGAGCCTTTCTTGATGAAGAACTGGCTCCAGTTGCCTTAAATAAAACAAATTATTTTTTTTCCCAGTCAAACGCGTCACTTAGAAATTCATCAGTGCAAAAAAATTAAAAATAAATGTAAAAGGAAAACCAGGTGGAATCAGGCAAATAACATAAAATTCAAATTCACAGCCATTTCAAAGAGAACTCTGCACCTGGGCGAGTAACACACCTAACATCAACTACATTAGTCGTGAACTGCCATAATTCATGTCCTGAAAATTAAAACCGATTGCGTCAAATATTCATTACGGTTTTTCATAACACTTTCATCAAGAAAAAGCTTACTTGACGTTTTTTCTACGTGCCAACATGTTTTAGACATATGAGTGTCAGAGAAAGCCAATTACAAACAACCAAAGAGGGAGAGGAGGAAAACAACTCAGTCTCATATCAAATGTACATGAAAATTCAAAATAAAAATGACAAGGCTTGTGAAATTTTTACGAATAAAGTACACTTGCAGTCTTCAAACAAGTCAAAAATCTGCTAACGTCTTCTATGACCAAAAAAATGACAATAAGCAGATCATTAAGTACATGAGTGTTTCTACAAACAAAAGGATAATATGCATTCAGTCATTTCAAGTGGATGAAAACCACCAAAGCTAAGTCAAGATAGTCAACGTCGTTTCTGAAATTGCAATATGTATGCCTCAAGGTAAAAAAATTAGTCAATGTGCATGCTACTAGCATGCTATCTTGGAAGGTGATTGCAACATAAGCAGATACAGTTTTCAAATTCACTGGAGTTTGAAAAGGTAAAACGACTGAAGTTCCAATAAATATCTACAAACAGAAGTTGTTATCGTTCACTTTCTTTGATTACATTATCAATCCTATCCTTTGAAACATTCTGATTTGCAGCATCATTCTCATATTCAACAAAATCATCAAATAGGCTAGGCCATGCTTCTGTGTCATCGTAGCTACTTAAATCATCACCAACAGTTTCAGCAAAATTGAGAAACATATTCCATGTATCTCTGGGAATACCCCTAACATGGGGATGGGATTCAAGAAAATGTAGCCATCGAGGTAAGATGAGGGGCTCCTTTCCTGTGAAAACTAACTTCCACAAACAAATAGCCATATCAGAGGGCAGAATTCTTTGACCTCGAGTGACATCCAAACCAAATCGGAAGGTAAATCTATACAAATCTTTAAAAATTTCTGGATCTTTACTAACTTCAAGAGCAATGTCAGGCAAGCGCTGCTGTATTCCTTTAATAGAGTCAACATGCATATTTTTACATCCAGTAACAAATTCAGATCTAGTAAATTGGCACATTTGTTCTGCATTTAGTCTCCATGCTAAAATTAATACCTTAAATTCATCAGGAGATAAGTCTAGGTCAGAACAAAGTTTTTCTATTCCATCAGCAAGGATGACATCTTTGTTAGGTTCTTTATATGCCTCAAAGAGGTTGTTGATCTTAACTTCAGAAACTTCCTTTTCTCTTCCAAGAGATCCAGGCAACAGAGAACAGAACGTCCGACTAGGCTTGTCCCCCATTGGTTTAATGTTACCATTCAATTGAGGCTCAACTGTAGTTAGAGGAGTAAGTCTTTGCAATTCTTCTGGCCTAGGGATATCTAGGATTAAAGAAATAAATTGTAAGTACATTATCTTTAAAAATGACTCGCAACAAAATTTTAGATTGCAGACATAAAATACAAACCTTCCTTGACTTTTGCAATTGATGTATCTGCTGGCCGAGGAGGAGGAGCGGGAGTTTTGAAGCAAGATAGGCAGTTTCCCATTGGAAATGAACTCTGAGTTTGAGTTTGGTGAAAATGACAAGGTCAGTGCTTCCTCAGCTGGAAGCCAGCAGACACAATTACTGTCCTTCATCAAGAGGCTTATTTCATCTCATATTAAAAGTGCAGAGGAACGGCAGTTGAAAAGAAACTGGAAATGGGAAACAAAGAAAACTTAAATAATACTATCAATGTAAGCAAAGAATAAGAAACATATAAACCTTGAAATACACAATACACTACAGTGAAAAGGCACAATATTATTAAGTCAAACAGGCACTCAGCCAACAGAAAACATTTGGACTGAATATGGTTTAAAGCAAAACCAGAAAAACAAGTATGCCTTGTGAAGAAGGTAAGGTTAGTTTGATCAGAAGGCAATCTCTTCACTGAAGATGCAATAAGGAAAACAAAAACACAATAATCTATGAAGTTAGGTGTGTCCTACGTTCATATAGTAACAGTTTCTAAATTTATGAAATAAAATAGAACCGTATTTCAATAATATGTACCTACTGACAATTGACAGCCTCATCCTTCTCAACCACATTTAAAATATCTAGGCTCATATGGGAGAGGAAAGTAGCGGACCCTTGTCTCAAATACGTCCAACAAATTACCTTTCAATAAATAATGGGTACCGCACACTATTTTGTAGAACGGCTGCAGGATAAGGTATTGTTGTATTGTTTCCCCTGCCCTTTTTCCTTTTCACCGACTCAGCAGCAAAGGGCCCAAAGCGCAGGGTTAAGTTTGATAGCTATTGGTATTGCTATAGCTCTGGCACGTATTCGTATTCCCAGCACGAGGCTACTTGAGGTTGGGTATGAGAGGCAAAACGTTCGGAAAGCCGAAGGGTGGGGAGGAGGGTGACGGTGACGGTGAGGGTGAGGAGACAGTGGTGGCGGTGGGGAAAGCCCAGCCCATTTGAACTAAACAAAAGGTGAAACAGGTTCATTATGTCGATGAAATACTTCCATGGAATGAAAATATTTAAATTTCTTCAACTTATCATTGTGACATACATAATGACTCAATACACGATTGTTAAAATTTCTAAATTTAGATAGGACCCTTTGATCAAGTTTTGTGACTCGAATACGATGTGGCGGCTACGCTGTCGCCCAGCCGAAAAGATAGAAATTTACCGAAATAATGTCGGACCTCACAGATGACCGTGAATTGAGACCCAAGGCTGCTAAGCCACAAAACACCAAACTAAGACAACAATTGTATTTTTCTTAATAGTTTTTTGTGCTACCGAATACCTTAGGAAAGGTTTCTTCCGAAAAGTCACCACCAAAAACAACTTAAGAACGTGACTGCTGCGCACACATCATCCATGCACAAAATCCATAACAAGTGACCAAAGGCATGTAAATGAGAAATACACAAATGAAACGTCTTCAAAATAATAAAATGAAGGGAAGAGTGCGACAGGTGCACCTGTGCGCCTGCCCCACCGGGCCGAGGCCCAGGCTGCTGAGGCCCAGGGGGTCGTGCTCGGGCAAGGGGGCAAGGGGGCAAGGCTCGGGCCGACACACCCCCTGCGGGGCACTACGGCGCGTAGGCCCTTACGCCAAGCCGCGCCGCCACGCCGCGCCACTACGCGTAGTGGGGTGGGGGTGGCGCGGGCCGGGGGAGGCAGGGAAGGCAGTCGCTGTGCGGCCGTTGGCGAGGGAGGGTCCCGCGCGCCGTGTCGCCCGTCACGTGGCTCTGGCTTGGCGTGGCTTGGCGTGGCTTGGCGTGGCTTTGCGCAGCACGGCGTGGCGTTGCGAGGCTGCCCCAAGTCACTTCGCGTTCCGCGGTGCCCGCAGTGCGCTGCCTGCACTCCATCGCGGTGCTCACCGAAACCGATCGGCGACCCCTTCGCTCCCAACCGCAACGCGGTCCTCCCCGCCGGCGTCCAGCTCCGGGGGGTCCCCGTCGACGTCCCGGTTGACGGCGGCGGGCTGCAGGCGCTGCTAGCATGAGGGGCTGCCCGCCTTAGACACCATCACGCCGTCCGCGACGCCGTCCGCGACGGAGGCCAGGATCATGGCGGCGACGGAGTGGATCGCCGCCATCGACAAGAGGTGAGTTGGCGGCCCCGGTGACCGCGTGCTGGCCGCGTCGCCGCGTCGCCGCGTCGTGACCGGCCCGTCGCGGTGAGTCACGTGGTGCCGTGACGGGGCGCGAGTTGCCGCCACGGGGAATTCCCCCGAGTCCTTATCGCAGCGCGTGGGTGCGCGTTGTGCGTGACCTCCACGGAGCGGCGGAGCAGCGCCGCCAATTTCCATGACGAGTGTGCGCGTGTGCGAGTGAGCGTGCAAGTGTGCATACACCGTGTATCGCGCGCGGGGCTGGCGCGGGGCTGGCGGGGCCTCCAGGATCGAGCGCGGGGTGCGGGCCGAAGCAGCGATACCGAGGCGGCAGCGCGGCCGCAGGATAAACAAGAGGAAATAAACGAAGCAGCTATCGGCTGTGTCGCGGCTGTGGCACGGCTGTGCCTGTGGCGCGACAGCGCGCTCCGCTCCACCGAGCGGCAAAGAGACAAGCCCGCGCGCAGATATACGTATGTATGTGTGGTATGTGCATACAGAAGAGAAGAGCAAGCAGCCACTCTGTGTTCCTTTCATCGCTGGCGTCGACACGCCTGTGACGTCACGGCTGTGTATCTTATCGTCACCGCCTCCCCGACGGCGGCCCCTTCGGGTCTCGGCGCCGTCGCCGCGACTCACCCCCGACAGGTCGGACAGGTAGCCCGGCGTGCGTCCGGCCCGTCCGGCCCGACCCCAGCCCGGCCCGGCCTAGGACAACACGCCAGCGAAGCGAACAAGACCGCCAACAAGGGCATCTCGTCTGGGCCGCCGCGGGGCCGACCCGCCGACCCGCCGCGGACGAGGGCAGAGCGAGCAGGCTAGCAGTCCCGGACCGTTCGGCCAAATGAAAACTTGTTGCGTGTCCCGGGCGGCGACCCGCTTGGCTTGGGGTCCGCGCCGCACCCGCGTTGCGAGTGAGGTCGCGTGTGGTGTTCGAGCGCTGTGTGAGTGTTTGAGGGAAAAAGTGTGTGTGAGTGTGTGTGTGTGGGGGGGGGGGCGTGTGTGTGTGTGTGTGAATGAATATAAATGTGTGCGTGTGTATATGTATGTGTGTGACAGGACACTGAAAGCGGCTGATGCTCTTAATTGCTTGGCGTGCCGAGGCAGTCGAGGCGGATGGGCGCAAAACCGTTTTCGGTTTCGTCGCTTCGTGCTGGTGCTACCAGAGAGGCCGCGTCCCGCTCCCCGCCCCGCTCCCTCTTCTCCTGTTGCCTTTTTCATTTTCGGGTGGGCTGGCTGCCGCCACGCTGCCGCCACGCTGCCGCCGCGCACGTGCACTCTGAGAGTAAAATGAGAGTCTAAAAAGAAGTCAGCTGCTGCGCTTCGCATGCAAAATTGGTGTTATTCTCTGCAAGGCTGTTGGTAGGCCATCGCCGATCGGGCCGCCGGGTTACGAGGCAGCGGGGGGCCCGCGCGGGGCGCGGCGGAGATTTCCGGCGCCAAATCCGAGTTGTGACACCGTCGTGTAATGTGAGTCGACGGGGGCGTGCGCCAGCCTGCGCTTACGGCCGGCACGATTCAGCACGGCTTTCATCGGGCATTAACGTCGAGTGTCGAGATCAGTTAAACCCCGCACCTGGCCGTGGCGGGGCGGGGCGGGACGGGGCAGGGCGGGGCGGCGTGTCGCGAGTAATCCATTTATTCAAAGTTGTGCGTTGACATACTGCATAAAGCATGAGCTTGCGACCCCTCCCGCCTGCCCCCGCACCTCGCTCGGCCCTCGGCCCCGCCGTCGTCGCCCCCACCGCTCGTATCTCGTCTGGGATCGGGTCCCCGAGGACGAGGACGCGAGTCGCTCTGCTGGCCGCCTTGACCGCCGCCGCTGGCACCCCGCAACTGGTGGAGGCGCACAGTGGGCCAGAAGACCGTGGAGGCGGTCCAAATCCCGGACAGGTTTTCAGCCCCAGAGTTGCTAAATGGGACTCGAACCGAATGTGTGGTGTGACCCCACCAATGGATTGCTCTCCGGACGAGGAATCCGTTGGTGGGGTCACACGTTCGGTCCCGTTTAGCAACTCTGGAGCTCAAAACGCGTCTAGAGTTTTGGCCGCCTCGCTAGTCTTCTGACCCACTATGAGTGAGGCGGTGGACTACAGCGCGCAACTCGCGGGTGAGGGCCTGGGCCACCAGCCTGGTAATCCCAGCCCGCTACACCGAGTGCCCCGCCGTGGTGGTCGCGGGGTTTTCCACCTCGTCTTCAGCCCGCCCATGCCGTTATAGGGCCAAATCTCTCCAGCCAGCGACCATCTTCCAGGCACGGGCTCACTAGGCACTCTGCCCAAACTTTGCCCTTTCCAGTGCTTTTTGAGAGTCTCTCCTAGGGCCGTCGGCGCGGCCTGCTTGTAGGCCTGCTCGGCCTGCTTGGAGCACGTGGGGGCGGCTTATCGCCCCCTCCCCTCCCCTCCCCCCTCCCCTCCCCTCCCCTCCCCTCCCCTCCCCTCCCCCCGTCCGTCGCCGCCCACCCACCTCCTTGTTCTTGACGCTCTTGGCGGCCACTACAGTCGCGCGCTGTACGTAATTCGCCGTCCGCCGGCCACGCCGCGCCAGCAGACTGAATCCGAGAGTCGCTTTCGTCGCTCTGTCTCTCTCGCACCTTTACACGGGACGCCGCGTGAGTGTGAGAGGCAGGGCCGTGAAAACGACTCTCGGAATCAGTCTGGAGCTCGTTGCGCTGAATCGCGTCTCACATAAAGGATGAAGAACATCCTGGCTGGCTGGCGGCGACGGCGGCAAACGACACCAAAAGAGTCGCCGTTCGTTGAGCCGGGCCGGGCCGGGGCCCTCCATGGTCGTGTAGCTGCAGACTGATTCCGTGAGCGCCCTGTCTCTCTCGCACTCATGGGGCCGCCCTTCCAGGGGACGAGGACGACTCTCGGAATCAGTCTGCTGCTAGCTCTCCACTCGGAGAGCAAGCCTCGAGGAGTAAGGGCGAGCTGCCGTCGCGGTGCCGCCGGGCCTCCTCGACGGCACACCGTCTCCGTCTGATCCTCGTGGGCAGAATGTCTCTCTCTCACTCGCGAGGCGTCCCACTTGAGTGCGAGAGAGACAGGAACGGAACTCTGTTCGGAACCAGCCTGCAGCAGGGCTCTGCACAGTGGGCCAGAAGCCGGTGGAGGCGGCCAAAACTCTAGACGCGTTTTGAGCTCCAGAGTCGCTAAATGGCACTCGAACCGAACGTGTGACCCCACCAATGGATTGCTCGTTCGGAGAGCAATCCATTGGTGGGGTCACCGGTTCGGTTCGAGTCCCATTTAGCGACTCTGAAGCTCAAAACGCGTCTAGAGTTTTGGCCGCCTCCACCGGCTTCTGGCCCACTGTGCTCTGCTGCTGCCGTCGGCTGCCGTCTCCGGAACAAGGCTTGGCGCAAAAACCGGCCCGGCGCTTGAAGGAGTTGAGGAGGCAGCGCGGGGGGAGTCGGCAGAGAGCCTCTCGGGGGCGGGGGTCTTGGAGCACCCCCCTCCCCCTCCCCCTCTCGCGGATGAGGTGCGAGGGAAGGGCGGGGATTTGAGAGGCTGAGGCTGCCAGGCCGTGTTCTTCCACGCAGAATTATTGAAGCTCGACCTGGCATGGCTTGGCGTGGCGTGGCGTGGCGTGCTGCCCCCTTCCCCCTCGCGCGGCGTGCCCGGGCATGCCCGGACCGAACGGGGTTCAAACACGCTATTTCGGGCCTGCGGGCCTGCGGCTTCAGTCGGGGAAAGACTCAATCAGTGTGCCGGCGCGAGGTGGCGGTGGAACCGTGGAGCCGCAGTCGCGCCAATCCCTGCCAGGGTGCGAAGCGCGAGAAGCGCGCGAAGGGTGCAACTAACGCCGAGAATAGCGGTCCGGACCGATGACTCCCTTCGCATCGGTTGGGCTCGGTGACGCCGACGGGCCGACGCACAGTGGGCCAGAAGACCGGTGGAGGCGGCCTAAACTCTTGACGCGTTTTGAGCTCCAGAGTCGCTAAACAGGACTCGAACCTAACGTGTGACCCCACCAATGGATTGCTCTCCGAACGAGGAATCCATTGGTGGGGTCACACGTTCGGTTCGAGTCCTGTTTAGCGACTCTGGAGCTCAAGACGCGTCTAGAGTTTTGGCCGCCTCCACCGGTCTTCTGGCCCACTGTGCGACGCGGCCGAAAACGGGAAAATGGAGACGCGACATTGCGGACACTATTTTCATCTTCCGGGCGTTTCACTGTTTTCACTGTTTCACTGCACCTGGCTGGCGGCATCGAGGGCTGGCAGTCCGCGCCGTAAAAACGAGGCCGCGGGACACGCGAGTACATGGCGGGGAGGGAGTTACGGCCGCGGCCACCTGCACTGCAACCAGTGGCGTGCGCAGAAATTTTGAAAAAGGGGGGAGGGGGGTCAGGCCATGCTTTTTTCCTACTTACAGGGGGAAAGTGACGCAATTTGCCTACCTTCCAGGCGGCTGCCTAGTGGCCAATGGGAGGGGTCATGACCCCCCCCCCCCTCCCTACCCCCCTTGCGCCCCTTGCGCACGCCACTGACTGCAGCCGCGCGATACGGCGATACGCCGCCCGTTGTAAACGACGAGTCAGCGGGAGGCGGGAAGGAAGTCGGGCCGACGGGGCCGGGAAGCAATCGACGGGAGTGAGCGCGATGAATTTATTCATCACCGGGCTCGTTCCGAACAGTGGCGGCGTCGCGGCGTCGCGCCGTCTCTCTCGCACCACCCACAAAGACGCCCCGTGGGTGCGAGAGAGACAGAGGGACGATGCGGCCTGCACTGCAGCGGCTGCTCGATAAGTGGATAAAACAGTGTCGCCGCGCCGGTCCGCGCGCTCCGTTCCACTCGTCTGGCAGCCCTACCACCCCCACTCCCCGAATTGGCCGAGGCGCGGCCGACGCCAGCCAGCAGCCAGCCAGCAGCCAGCCAGCAGCCAGCTAGCAGCCAGCCCACTGGAGATCATGCTCCCCAGTTGTTGTGCGCAGGATGGGGCATAGCGTGGCGGGGCCTGGCGGGGGCGCCGGGCTCGCCGGGGCGTGT